CGATTCGATGAGGATCGGTACAAAGCCGATAAATCCCTCATGGATTTACTGGATGGATTCACCAGATGATCCATCAATCGCAGAAGATCCTTATCTTCCGCGTATGCCTTTCGTACGTCGTCAAGTAAACTTGACGACGGGACACTGACTGACAGTGTCGCAACAGTGGGCTTATCCTCACTGTTGGATTGTGCGTCCGGCTCGAAATCGGGCCGGCGCGAAAGAGCATCCGCGACGACATTGAGTCGTCCCGGTTTATACTCCACGGAGAAGTTATACTCCGCGAAGAAAGACAGCCACCTCGCCATTCTTTGCGAGAGGTGTGGGCTGTTTACGGCCGTGCGTAATGACGCATGGTCCGTGTAGACAACAAACGGTCTATCTCCCAAGAGATAGACGCGAAACTTAGCCAGTGCGTATTTCATGGCAAGGAGTTCCTTGTCATGCACTGGGTAATTACGCTCAGCTGCTTGCAGCTGACGCGACCGATAACAGATGACGCGCTCCGCGCCATCTGCATCGAACTGCATTAACGCACAGCCGGTTGCAAAATCGCTGGCGTCATAGACCACATGAAATGGTCTGTCCTGATCTGCAATCGCCAAGATCGGCGATTGCATCAAGCTCCGCTTGATACCTTCAAAGGAACGCTGGCACTCAGCGTTCCATGACCACTTGACATTTTTCTTGAGCAAGCAAGAAAGATGAACAGTCATCTCGGCGTAGTTGCGCGAGTACTTGTGCAAGTACGCCGCAAGACCAAGGAATTCCTTAGTTTCTTGACATCGACTGGCACTGGCCAGTCGGTGATCGCCTTGATCTTTTCGGGATCAGGGCGTACGCCGTGTTTACCCACGATGCACCCAAGAAGTGGTATTTCGCTAGCCGCGAATATACACTTCTTGAGGTTGGCGTACAACTTATGCTTGCGCATAAGTTAAATGACTAGACGAACGTGAGTTCGGTGGACTGTAAAGTCCGTCTTTCCGTCCATAGCCCGGCTATGGACGAACACATCGTCGAAGTAACTCGGTGCGAAGTCTCGCACCGGTCTCAACAGATTTGTTACACATCTGTTGAATGTTGCAGGGGCATTACTCAGCCCCTGTGGCATCACTAGCCACTCCCACAGCATCCCGCTGGGGGTACTCACTGCCGTGAACGGGACGTCCCGTTCACGCATCAGGATCTGATAGAATCCATCCATCAGATCCATGGACGAAAAGATGGTACTCTTTGACATACCATCTATGATTACGTCCTTCCTCGGTATCGGCGTCTGAGCCGGTACCGTTGCAGCATTCAACTTGTTGAATGCGTGCACTATCCGCCACCCTCCTGTGGCCTTTCGCACACAGAAGGTCGGAGAGCTGTGAGGGGATGTTGATTCCCTCACATGGCCCGCTGCTAAGCGATCGGCAAAGAACTTGTCGATCGCTATCACTTGTTCACGAGGCAGTGGCCACTGCTTCATGACACAGTATTTCGAGCCCGGTTTGAGCTCGATCTCGTGTCCAGTGCCTTTGTCCTTAGGCAACTCGCAAGGTACGGATTCAGGGAACACATCCCTGAATTCGATCAAATCCTTATACAAAGGATTTGCCTGAAGTGACTCCCAGGATTGGGACGCGTATCGCTCAATCCGAGTCTTCTCATCGAGGACACTTTCGTCCATCGATGAGCTGCTGAGAACCCGTTCGTTCTCAGCAAATACTGTTGCCAACCGAATGTCGGTCACATACTCGTCCTCTGTGACGAGTATGCAGATCTGCTTGACTTTGCCACTACGCAGATCACGCAAGAACCGTTTCGGTTCTAGAGTTGGCAACTGAGTTATCTCCGAAGTCAACTTCGGAGGCACAATCAGATCAAGCGTATAAGCGCCTACGCTTGATCCGTCATTAACCAAGACGTTCAACGTCTCGGTTTCTTCCTGGGAACTTGCTTCCACAGGTTGCTGAGGGCCTAATCCCTCAGCAAGCGACTCTTGAGGAATTCCTTCCTCAAGTACGTGGGGACTTATTCCCTCGACGTCTTCCGACTGTGGCTGTGCAACCACAGTCAGGAACCGATCCTCTACGGTCTACTCTCCAGTCGACCTAGGATTTTCATGTTGCCCCTTGGGGGCAACAGACTTCTTTCTTCTAAGATGCTGCCCGCTAGGCATGCATCCATGTCCCGGTCCACTCGACTTATTCGAGTGGTGGACCTTCGGCGCAGCCTGTACTTCTGTACAGCCGCCGGGAGCTTGCTCCACAGTGTAGTGATCAACTACACTGTGATCTTGTGCAGTCGTGCTAACGACCGTACCGCAAGTGAGGCCATCGCACTCACTCGCAGAACATCCACACGCTTGTGGACGCTCCAAGATGTTCATCAGATGGCCATCTGATGAACAAGCAGCAGGCATCTTCACGGATCGATGCTGCCAGCTCACTCTTGGCTCGTACTTTCTGAGCCAAGGTAATCCCAGGATGACATCAAATTTGTCATCCAGATCTAGTACGATGAAGTCATCATCGTACTGTTCGCCCTCTAACGTGTAGTGGATTCCTACTACACGTTTCTCAACGGTTATCGATGCGCCTGTTGCAAGGCGCACCGTCATCCTTGTGAGGGGAATGTCGCGCTCAACGAACTTGAGCCTACGACCCTCTAGTGACTGGCGACGAACAAAGTTGTTCGACGCCCCACAGTCTACTAGGGCACGAAGCGACAAATCATTTGTCGCTTCCAACTTCAAGGTGATGAGCGAAACGTCATCACCAGGTGCAGAGACACACAATGATTGTGTATCTGGAGCAACTTTCGTCAAGAGATTTGCAAATTCTCTTGAGGTTGCTGGATCAGTAGGGCGCTCCGCCCCTACTGACCCCGACCATTTTTTGATGGTCCGTCTCGCTGTTGCGGCTTCGCAACAGCGCTGGACCCACGCCCATTGCCCTTTCTGGCAAAAGGTCGTCCATTTCGCTCAGTACTGTTTGGTACTGGGCGCGGAGCACTACACTCGTATGCGTAGTGCCCTAACTTCTGACAGCGATTGCACCTCTGCAATCGCTTGTTGTTTGTAGAGCGAGGTCTCTCGCTCTCAACATAGCAGAGGTCCATTGGTTCTGGACCTCCGATCTCTTGTCGTCTCGGTGGACGGTAAGAGTTTGAGCTAGCATGAGCCTGTCTCATGCTAAAGTCTTCCTGTTCCGCGGCTGATATCACTTCTTCAAGCGTATTCAGCTCAAGGCGGAACAGGTGGCTCCTGACGGGCCCTTCTGCGAGCCCTTGCATGAACACCGTAATCAACGTGTGTTCATGTACTGGGTTAGCAGTTATACTACTCGCAAGGAGTCGTATATGTTGTGCGTAAGCGTGCACATCACGCTTACCCTGCTTGAGTTTCAGGAGCTCTGAGCGAGCCCTGAACTCAGCACGTGGCGGCTCAAACGTTTGTCTGAGCCGGGACTTGAAGTCATCTAGCGACCTAAACACATTTGGGTCGCTACTCTCGAGTCCCAGGGACCAAGTTTTGGCACGCCCTGCCAAGTGGGTCTGAGCAAATGTGAGTTTCATTTGCTCATCTTCGACGCGACGAGCCCTTAGGGCTCTGTCGAGTTCGACAAACCATAGTAACAGGGAGTCCTCCGGGACTCCACTGTACTTGGAGATGTCGACTTTCATGACTTCGGGACGACGCGCATGCGCCGTCCCGCCCACAGCAGCATGGAATTGCTGCTGTCTCAACAGCTCCGTCTGTTGAGCACCGAGTTCTCTCAACTGCTCGGCCTGTTGAGAGCCTTGCTGGTGAAGCAAGGCTACTTTCTCCCTCTCGAGAGCAAGTTCATTCTGAATGAACTTGGCGATAGCGGCATGTTGTTGTTCTCTGTCTAGAGACTCCAACATGGTGCTGACGACGAGTTCGCCTACGGTAGAACTCATTCGTTCTACCGCACCCCATTCGATGTCACTCAAATGGGTAAACCCTTCACGCGTGGCGTGAAAGGTGTCTTCTTCATCCAACATGTTCATGTTGGATGATGTGGTCCTTGGAAGGACTACGAAGTGCTACCAGGTGTAACGGGGCACACCCTTGCGTAACTTAACGCAAGGGTTTTGAGTGCCCCGACAGACGTACACGTGGCAAGCGAGGAAGCGTAGGTAGGGTAAAAGTAGAACTGTTATATTAATAAATTAAGTCTTTAAACTACTGTCTCTTCGTTTGACTTAATTCAATTATACTAATATAACTGCATGTATGGTGACGTCTCGTCACCACTCATTGCGCGCGTCTTGCGGCGATTGGTGGGTTGATATCATCACGATATCAACCAATGAACAGACCCTTTGGTCGACCCTTCAATATCACCACTTTGGTGATATTGTTTTAAAGAATATCCATCTTTATATTCTTTATTGTCACTTTCCTTAAAGTGACAATTTCATGTAACGGGCTGCCCCGTTACACATTAGGTACATACAGACTCGAAGGGCACAAATGATGCGACCAATTGTTGAGCCATTAGCGAGCACGAAACGGGCAAAAAGCACGAAGCGAGTTGCTGCAACAACGTAAAGATGTCGATGAGGTCGACTTCGTGCATGCTTTGCATGAACCGTGCAGTGCTACAGTCTCAATGTCGTGATGAAATGCATCTCACCAGCAATTTGCCCGACAAAACAGTCAACGACCGACTGCCGCAAGAGGTTAGTAGTAGCAGCAGCAGCCGAAGTCCTGCGACTCGTAGATCAAAGCAGAAAAGAAACAGACAGCTTGCGCTACTTGTAATGTCAACAAGTCAATGTTAACGATTTATCCCTTCTTGCGGTACAGGCTCTTCCTAGTCCTGCGAACTGAAGGAGCACATTCGTCGAGTAATTTTGAAGCCACAAGTGCAGAAAAGTCAGCCGAAGAAAAAACAACCTCGACGGTCTCTTGAACAGATAGGGAATGTCCTGGACGTCTCGAGTCCAGGTTGGCAACCCTGGCCAGTGAGCACAAGCGTTTGCTCCTAAAACGGATGCTTCCCACCAGCGGCCTCGCCGTGCTCTTCCGTGGTAGGCACGTAAGGCACATAACGCTCGTCCTGCACGAATGTCGCAGGGTCAGGGTGGGGGTTCTCGATGACGCCTTGGGGAGGGGTTTCCACCACCACGGGGTGTTGCTCTTCAGGGATAGGCACGACCGGCGAATAGGGCGTGCCCTGCACTGGCGCAAAAGGGTCAGGGTGGTGGGCCCCGCCAATCGGTTGAAGAGGGTGCTGTTGGGACGTGGGTCCTTCTCCGATGGGCAGGGTAGGCCAGCCCTGCTCCGGCGTGGAAGGGTCAGGGTGGTGGGCCCCGTCAATCGGTGGAAGAGGGTGCTCTTGGGACGTGGGTCCTTCTCCGATGGGCAGGGTAGGCCAGCCCTGCTCCGGCGTGGAAGGGTCAGGGTGGTAGGCCCCGCCAACCGGTGGAAGAGGGTGCTCTTGGGCCGTGGGTCCTTCTCCGATGGGCAGGGTAGGCCAGCCCTGCTCCGGCGTGAAAGGGTCAGGGTGGTAGGCCCCGTCAATCGGTTGAAGAGGGTGCTGTTGGGACGTGGGTCCTTCTCCGATGGGCAGGGTAGGCGTGCCCTGCACCGGCGCAAAAGGGTCAGGGTGGTGGGCCCCGTCAATCGGTTGAAGAGGGTGCTGTTGGGACGTGGGTCCTTCTCCGATGGGCAGGGTAGGCCAGCCCTGCTCCGGCGTGGAAGGGTCAGGGTGGTGGGCCCCGTCAATCGGTTGAAGAGGGTGCTGTTGGGACGTGGGTCCTTCTCCGATGGGCAGGGTAGGCCAGCCCTGCTCCGGCGTGAAAGGGTCAGGGTGGTAGGCCCCGTCAACCGGTGGAAGAGGGTGCTCTTGGGCCGTGGGTCCTTCTCCGATGGGCAGGGTAGGCGTGCCCTGCACCGGCGCAAAAGGGTCAGGGTGGTGGGCCCCGTCAATCGGTTGAAGAGGGTGCTCTTGGGCCGTGGGTCCTTCTCCGATGGGCAGGGTAGGCCAGCCCTGCTCCGGCGTGAAAGGGTCAGGGTGGTGGGCCCCGCCAATCGGTTGAAGAGGGTGCTGTTGGGACGTGGGTCCTTCTCCGATGGGCAGGGTAGGCCAGCCCTGCTCCGGCGTGGAAGGGTCAGGGTGGTAGGCCCCGTCAACCGGTGGAAGAGGGTGCTCTTGGGCCGTGGGTCCTTCTCCGATGGGCAGGGTAGGCGTGCCCTGCACCGGCGCAAAAGGGTCAGGGTGGTGGGCCCCGTCAATCGGTTGAAGAGGGTGCTCTTGGGACGTGGGTCCTTCTCCGATGGGCAGGGTAGGCCAGCCCTGCTCCGGCGTGGAAGGGTCAGGGTGGTGGGCCCCGCCAACCGGTGGAAGAGGGTGCTCTTGGGCCGTGGGTCCTTCTCCGATGGGCAGGGTAGGCCAGCCCTGCTCCGGCGTGAAAGGGTCAGGGTGGTGGGCCCCGCCAATCGGTTGAAGAGGGTGCTGTTGGGACGTGGGTCCTTCTCCGATGGGCAGGGTAGGCCAGCCCTGCTCCGGCGTGGAAGGGTCAGGGTGGTGGGCCCCGTCAACCGGTGGAAGAGGGTGCTCTTGGGCCGTGGGTCCTTCTCCGATGGGCAGGGTAGGCGTGCCCTGCACCGGCGCAAAAGGGTCAGGGTGGTGGGCCCCGTCAATCGGTTGAAGAGGGTGCTCTTGGGACGTGGGTCCTTCTCCGATGGGCAGGGTAGGCCAGCCCTGCTCCGGCGTGGAAGGGTCAGGGTGGTGGGCCCCGCCAACCGGTGGAAGAGGGTGCTCTTGGGCCGTGGGTCCTTCTCCGATGGGCAGGGTAGGCCAGCCCTGCTCCGGCGTGAAAGGGTCAGGGTGGTGGGCCCCGCCAATCGGTTGAAGAGGGTGCTGTTGGGACGTGGGTCCTTCTCCGATGGGCAGGGTAGGCCAGCCCTGCTCCGGCGTGGAAGGGTCAGGGTGGTGGGCCCCGTCAATCGGTTGAAGAGGGTGCTCTTGGGCCGTGGGTCCTTCTCCGATGGGCAGGGTAGGCCAGCCCTGCTCCGGCGTGGAAGGGTCAGGGTGGTGGGCCCCGTCAATCGGTGGAAGAGGGTGCTCTTGGGCCGTGGGTCCTTCTCCGATGGGCAGGGTAGGCCAGCCCTGCTCCGGCGTGAAAGGGTCAGGGTGGTAGGCCCCGCCAACCGGTGGAAGAGGGTGCTCTTGGGCCGTGGGTCCTTCTCCTATGGGTAGGGTAGGCCAGCCCTGCTCCGGCGTGGAAGGGTCAGGGTGGTGGGCCCCGCCAACCGGTGGAAGAGGGTGCTCTTGGGCCGTGGGTCCTTCTCCGATGGGCAGGGTAGGCCAGCCCTGCTCCGGCGTGAAAGGGTCAGGGTGGTAGGCCCCGTCAATCGGTGGAAGAGGGTGCTCTTGGGACGTGGGTCCTTCTCCGATGGGCAAGGTAGGCCAGCCCTGCTCCGGCGTGGAAGGGTCAGGGTGGTGGGCCCCGTCAATCGGTTGAAGAGGGTGCTCTTGGGACGTGGGTCCTTCTCCGATGGGCAGGGTAGGCCAGCCCTGCTCCGGCGTGGAAGGGTCAGGGTGGTGGGCCCCGTCAATCGGTGGAAGAGGGTGCTCTTGGGCCGTGGGTCCTTCTCCGATGGGCAGGGTAGGCCAGCCCTGCTCCGGCGTGAAAGGGTCAGGGTGGTAGGCCCCGCCAACCGGTGGAAGAGGGTGCTCTTGGGCCGTGGGTCCTTCTCCGATGGGCAGGGTAGGCCAGCCCTGCTCCGGCGTGGAAGGGTCAGGGTGGTGGGCCCCGCCAACCGGTGGAAGAGGGTGCTCTTGGGCCGTGGGTCCTTCTCCGATGGGCAGGGTAGGCCAGCCCTGCTCCGGCGTGGAAGGGTCAGGGTGGTGGGCCCCGTCAATCGGTGGAAGAGGGTGCTCTTGGGCCGTGGGTCCTTCTCCTATGGGCAAGGTAGGCGTGCCCTGCACTGGCATTGCAGGTCCTGGCGGGGGGATTTGTTCGACGGGAACTTGGGGGTGGTTTTGGTTGACCGCATTGTTTGGGCTTTCAACAGGGAGATGGTCGGCAGGTTGGTTAGAAACGCCTGGGGCTCCGTTACCCGCAGGGCCTCCGGTCGTCGTCCCCGAACTTTTTGGACCTCGAAGGCTACCGCCACCGCCAAGTCGGCGAGCGGAATGGAAAGTCGTCGAGCTGGCTAGCTCATTGGCATTCGCGTTAGCAGTCGACGTCGCCGAAGAGACGATCGCCACGGCGAGCGCTGCGTGCGCAATGATGCGTGAAACTCGCATGGAGGCGTAAGGCTGAAGGAGCGGTGGGCAGGTTGGATTGGTCGGGAAGTCCCAATGAAGCAAACGATGTTTGCTTGGCTCGGCAAGTTGCAGAATGAGCTCGAGCTGCACGGGGCATGAGACTCGAGCAAGACGAAAGTCACTACGTCGTCACATGTTGACAACCATACGAGGAGCAGACCGCCTCTGTCAGAAAGGCTGGTGAAGCTGTCGCGTCGACGTAAAGTCGCCTGGGCAAGACTTTTTCTCGTACCCGGATGGCAGAGGCACATCCGGTGCTCGCTCCCAATGTGTATACAGATCGATGTCTTTACATCCCGCAGTAGCCGTCGCGCGGAAGGTGTGACATTTTCGCGAGGTGCCTGCCGAGCCCCCGAGAGCCCAACAACTGTACAGTCAATGAGTGTTACTTCCACTGTACGGTGGTGTAGTAAACGTCCAGGTCAGAGCTGCTGGAACCACAGGTGTATCCGTTTTCTGGATCTAATGCCTGGGAAACGTTTGGGGAAAGGCTTGCGGAGAGGCTTTTCTGGAGATGCAGTAGCTGCTGCCTGTGTCGAAGCACGATGGTGTGGCCGAGTTGTCTCATCACGACGATCCCCCGACGCGTTGGTCTCCACGAAAGCACAAGCGCCGGTTGGTTGTCGATTCGAACGTCCACGAACCTCATTCCATAGCCGTGCGCGGGTCGTAATCCACGAAAGGAGCATTTCCGCTCGTTCAGACGCGTGAAAATGGCCGCCCGTCATCTTCAAGTTTGCTGCTGTCGGCCTACGCGTTTTTTCGTGCCATCGTGTCGCGATATCCGCTTGAAGATGTGCGGGCATACGGCGTTCCTCTTACGCACCCGCTGGACAGACACCGGCAGTCATCTTGATCGTCAGTGGGAGTGAAGCGCCAACGGTAAGGTATCTACCGCAGGAGGCGCCACCGTCATTGAAAATACGAGGCATGTGCTGCACACGTTAGTCCAACGACGCAGACCTTCTCTTGTCAATGTACATACCAAGGCACAGCTCTTGTGCAAGGCTGCGGTAGTGTGATCGAGCTATCGACGACGAAAGCGAGCGCTTGCGTTACCCGTTCACGCAAAAACCCGGCAGCTCTTTAGCGATGGTGTAGGAACATTGGACCGAGCTTGGGATAGGACAGCTGCGTCCCGCTTCCTGGCGCTCTTCACGTCGCATATCCCTCGACGACACAACACCTGCAGAAGACAAGAAGCGAATCCGAAGCACTGCCTTCCCAGCCCCATCTACGCACAACACATTTGCTGCAAGTTTGATTTGCTCGAACGCTCGTTGCCGCACATGCTGCAGCGTCATAGGTGCGGGGGGAAATGTCACGTATAACAACGCGACAAAGTCGACCGAGCGAAAGGTCAAGAGCAGTGAGTGACATGTTTCCACGTGAATGTTGTGCCTTTGACACATACACTCACCGCCGCCAATGGTTCAAGTCGTGCCACAAGCTCACAACCAGATTGAACTAGTTGTCTCCGTGGCAATAGCTGCACGACGAAGTTCCGTACCACGCACAAGCAAAGTCGCTCCAGTCGCATATCGAGACCAGAAGCGGTCATGAAGCTGGCAGCTATGAGCGAGCTCGGAACTTCAACCACAGGTAGACAAGCACAACACTGCGGTGCGATTGCCCGCAAAGCAATGAGGCTATCCAGCGCGGTATCGTGAACGATCTGCCCGGCATCGTGGTGTCGCGTAGCCTTGTCGTCAAATCGACAGACCAGCGTCGAACGTTGCCCGCAGGCCCGTGTGCTGTCATCTACTTGTTCGTCAAGACTGCAAGAACATGCTCAGCGACGACTCCATCAGTCGGCAGTGATCGATCAATGTCAACCCCCCTATGAGCCAGATCACGTACAGCGCGCACGCCACTCGACATTGACGCGATGTACCCGTCGTCCTCTGTTTTATGTTCACGCTGTGCTCGCCTGCCACCTTGGGCACAGCTAAGGCGATGGAAATCGTGTGCGATAGGGTCCGTTCGTGCAGCATGTTGATGTGTCGTTGTTGGTGGTGTAGGGCACGAAGCGCTTGCGTGGACAGTACTAGATTCACTCATTCCTCCTGCCGCTTTTTACTCTTAGTAGCTACGTGTCTCACGGAACGCGTGCAAGCTGAGCTTGTGTCCCAAACGCACAAAATGTGCATCGAGCATCAGCTGAAGTGAGCAATAGCGAGGTCGGGAGCCTGGGGTTCCCACCTGGTGTCTTGGATAAGCACCGCTCGTGCGAAGTAAGTGGCGCGGGTCCGATTCCCCTCTTCGACCAACGTAAGGTCTTTCCCTAAAAAATATGCAAAGCAATCGATGCACTGGTATCACGCCGGGAACCTCAATACCAACTAGTAAGGCCTCTCGAAGAAGCATAAAACCCATTGACTAGTAGTTGGGCTATCCGGTCTGGCGGGCAACCAGAGTAGTCGGTAAGAACCGCCCGTCCCGTGGGATGATAACCACGACCGGGAAGAGATGTGTAGGCCCGCCCTGAAGGAGACAGTACCAGGTTGTTAGGAGGACTAAGTGTACCGGTTGGACCTACAACAACAACAACAACAACAACAGAAAAGAGGTCGGGAACCTGGACGACACGCTACTTGGGATGTACTTATTGACGATGCTTTACGGACCCGATGTTGATGGTGCAGTAGTGCAAAGTATGTAGATCAGCGATGCCAAATGTTATCTACGGTCACGTGAACACGTCTCGTCGTGCGTACAAGCATACAAAAGATCAATCGCTCACTCAGTGCAAACCTGATGGAACAGTCCTCTACAAGTGCACGTACGGTGAAAGCCAAACGTCTCGGCGCACCTGCTGTAGGTGCAGGAGCGTGTGTTGTATGTGTCTGTGTCTGTGTCTGTGTCTAAAGACATGCTCAAAGCTTTGGGTGCTGCGTGATCGCAGGTCAAGCTTGCAAGAAGGTTGTACAGCTTGTTGAATCCATTGCAGTGTATCGCATTCAACTTCTTTCATGCTATCGCTATAGCTCGAGAATGGACAGCCAATTACTTACTCAATGCATGTGCGTGTGCGATGATTGTTGTACATTGTCGATGCCTGTATACGAAGGTAGTCTTCTTCTGCCATTTGGTTTTCTTATCTTCGTCATCTACAAGAGATAGCTGAGGCGCGATACACGTATTGCGAAAGGGGCCATCTCGACAAATTCGGATCCAACGAGGAAGCTTTCTGACTCGGCTCTGCAAATGTCCTTGATCAACATTTGCTGCAGTTTATCGCAATGGTGCAGTAGCTTCTCGTGATGGTTGGCATGTTGCAGCGGTCTTATTCAACGGAACCAGCATGTATCCCAAGCTACATTCCGATGTGACCTCAGTCTTGTCTTTGCGAGTAAAATGCTTAGCACGACGAGTTCGCAGTAGTGGTATAGATGGCCAATACACGCTGTAGACTACGCTCACGTTCGCGAATCGGCTTTCTTGCTCGGAGGGTTCACTTGACGTGATCCAATATGCAAACAAACGAAGTTGATCAACGGAACTGCAGCGAGGACCACGCCTTCTGTTTCCACGCCTTCAACTATTTTGCAAATGGGTTCCAGCTGGATGATAAGGAGGTGCGTCTGAATGACGGCATTTCACATTTGCAGGCCGATACACGGCGCAGGTTATGCACGACGTTCGTCACTGTGCTCAAAAACTTAGAGGGACATCGACAAACATCGACATCGATGTCTCAGCACAGTGCCCGAGCAGCACACTAAGCTTTACCGACGATTGCTTTGATCTATGCGACACCTTACTCATGGACTCATGCATCAAGCATCGCAATCGCTGTAGATCTTCTCCGGTAAACAACAGCATGTAGCAGGCGAAGCATTCATGCAGTAGAAAATGTACCGATCTTGGCGATAGCACAGCGCGAATCTACATTGCCAGAGTTGGCAGTTGGTCGAGTATGGTTCTACACGAACGCGTGTGTGATGTTCATCCCGAGCAAGTCGTAGTGCGAGTGACATGCAACCGACACTTCGCCATCTTCCATCTCGCCGACAACGCTTCGTCGACATTGTACGTCAGGTGTTCTCTTCTTGGTGAACTAGTGTCCTCGCTACGCCGTTCTTGTGATGGACACGCTCAATCGAGAGAAGCACAAGATGCTAACGTCCATTCATGTGGTACTTCGTGGTCGGCTTGACACCGGCTGAACGATAGATGCCGTCATGCGCTATGTTCCACACGACACTGTTGCCGAGATCGAAGTTAGTATCTGCCAAATGTACGTGTCCGCCCTCTCACAGACTCACGCATGATGTCTCGACAAACGACGACAGGGACGTGCCAGCTCATTGATCAATAGAACCAGCGTATCCAATCTTCACTTTGCATCAGGGACACCAGGTAAAAGCCGACGGTTGCGAGCAGTTAATCGTGAACTCGCTTGTTGGCAAAGTCATGGGATGCAGATCGACGACACTTGACGCGTGTTTTGGATCGTTGTGTCAGCAAAGGGTGGCTGGCTCAGCCATTACCACAGCCAGCTCTTCTACCGCTGTACTTGAATGCGGCGCCGACCGCTGCAAGCTTGGCAGTGGTAGAGGAGGTGACGCCTATAGCCAAGTAGACGATTTACCGAACGGCTTATTGTTGCGGACCGAACGCCTTCGCAAGCAAACGTTCCCAGTTTCTAACCTCTTTGTAGCCATCATTCTCGTAGAGCGCACTCAAGCTGATGATCGTTGTCTTGCATTTGGATGCACCCGTCACCGTAGGAATATTGGATTACCTGTAGGAATACGGGGCTACCTGTAGGAATATTGGGGCTACCTGTAAGGAGTTTGCTGTGCAATGCCGTCACCAATGAACTGGATGGAGATGTTGCATCGATGTGCGTAAGCTACCGGCACGCCCGATACAAATGCTACACGGCCATGACATGGTCTGTGCACACCTGTTCCCTTGCTAGGATGTGTGTAACTCGTAAAAGTGCTTGGGCAGTGTCCGTCTTGCTTCTAGCCTTGTAACGCACTGGAAAGCGAATGAAAGTCCGACACTTGGACGTCCTTCTCAATAGCGAGAACGAAAATGCAGCCGCGTCACGCTTAGTTTGACACTGTGGTAGCATGCTGAGTATCACGAAAGCATTCGACTTGCAGTGCATAGCTGAAGGCCGTAGCTTCAGATCGTAGTGGACCTGGTAGGCCGCGAACGCCATTGCTCTTGGGAACGACCTTGTTGGGTCAATACCCACCGCTTGTATCAATGAGCTACCAATCGACTTGACCCACCGGCAACTCGGACCGGATAGAGAGAATTGCAGCTACGCACTGCAGAGATGATACTTGTGCGTGTGATGCCTACCCGTGTGCATATAGTACCTACCTAGCTCATCCAAACTACCAGTTACACCAGCTCTGTGGTGTAGCGCTGCAATACCCCGCACCTACCTGAGTATGGATGTGTGAGCTTGGAAACTAGGCACCGAAGAAGTTTGTCACGACGGCGAAGCGAATAGCGGGAGAATGACATGTGTGGAGGGAACTAGTATGTGCGATGTAGCGAGTTACAATGGAACCCCGCTCAAGTCCTCATAACAATGATACGAAAAAACAACTATCTCCTGAACCACTATACTTGTCAGAGATATGCATATACCGATGGCAAGTTTCCTCAAGCCTGTTCACCTCCCATCAAGAGTGTGCTCGGCAACGGACTTCTTTCGCAACTTGACGGATGGCTCTAGTTGACTTTGCCATTTCACTTTCGTCAACGAATGTACCATTGGTGAGACGCATCAACGTCAACATCAACTATAACCTTGTTGTCGTCCAAGTTGTTGACAGCGCCAACGTATTTGTCGTCATCTTCAACAGAGAAGGCACGAATGATACCATGGCAATCGTCCGCCGAACGCTAGCAAGCAACGGGATTCGATCTGCGATGCGGAGGCTGTCTTCGTTACAGATACACGTTGTGTGATACATCACGACGCTGTCACACAGAGGGAGCGCTACCAACCGAGCACGGTCTTCACACTTCGGTCGTCGGGGTTTTCACCACCTCAAGTCGGGAAGCAAAGATTCGCATGCGACTGTGTTGGTGGGCGAAAGGTGCAATCGGTGTTGCTGTATCAACACCGGTGGTAAAGTGAGCAACACGATAGAGGAGCACTGAAAGGTGTATGCATTGAGCTACGAGTGGCTGCGCGTCGCGGATGGCGTAGAAGACGCATTGTACCCACCATTCAGTATGGTGGTCCATCAGGTCTTTGCTGACAGTTTGCGAGCTAATTCGAGCGAGGCGCGACGTTGCGCCACTCATGTGGCTAAGTTGCCATCGCCCTTTGTTCAAACGGTTGTTCGCTGCGACTTGCAGATGTATGGGCAACAGCAAACGTGTTGTGATGCCTTCGCAGGGTCACTCATGACAAGCGATTGCAATATGTAGCACAGCAGTATGCACGCATCGTTGACACCATCGACGAGACCGACTAATGGAAGCAGCTTTACAGAAGTGGCTCGTTGGGGTGAGCATTCTGAGGATCGCTATCAGACACTATGTGATCCGCTCACTCGGCACTATGTGTTCACAATCTGCTACTGAAGTATATGCAGGACAAGCGCAGATTCGTTGCGGGCCAAAATCGATCATCAGGACAAACGTACGAAAGTGACGCAGTCTGAGTACAACATCGACAGCTTTCGACCCGCTACACCCTCAGCATTCGTCAAAGACGCTCGGGCACTATACCACACGTTCACTTGCAAACCTCTATACAATATTTAACGTTAGGAAGTTGGAGAGCCTATCGAACTATTTGGAGCGCACGTCTGACCACTTCGGCATACACCTGATGCCCAACACCATCTCATCTCGCACCGCGATGGAATCAAAAGCGACGACCTCGACCACCACTACGACCACGACCGCCGCGACCGCCGCCATAGCCACGACCTCCACCACCACGGCCTCCACCGAAGCTCTGCGAGCGCATCTGGTATGACGATTGCTGCAGCTTTGGCAGCGTCTTCGGAATCGAGTACGGACTGTGCACGCCGCCGTCCTCGATCAATTTGTCCATCAGCTCCAAACCAGCTATTGGGAGATCAAAGCAAGCTCCCATCGAGTCTTCCGTCAGGGTCAGCTGCTTGATGTCATTCGCAATGGTCTCGGGAATGTCCCGGTTCAAAGCATTCCACACGTAGCCTTTGGCGCGAATCGAGTTGGAGCTCGTGAACAGCACTGTCGCGTAGTCAGGTACGCCAGACATGAGTGACGTTCGGCGAGGTACTTTGGTGTGGCCCGTAATACAGGCCAGTGCAGCAGCCAAGCACTCTTCAGGCTCCCCGCTCTCAAGCAGCTCGCTCGCCTTTTCTCGAAAGAGCTCAATCATAGCAGCGTCAACGTTCTCGATTTCCTTCAGCGCCTTGGCAGCTGAGGCCTTGATCAGGTCCTCTTGATCTGGAGGTCCCTTCATCACAAACTTGTTGCCGATCTTGCGCTCAATTTGAGTCAGATGGTCACGCTGGCGATTCGTGTACAGAGTGATGCAGATACCCTTTTTGCCGGCACGACCCGTACGACCCGATCGATGAACGTACGTGTCTACGTCGGCCATTCCCGACATCTTGCGAGGCGGCTCCGAGTTGATCACAAGGTCAACGTTCATGTCCAGACCACGAGCAGCAACATCTGTGGCAATCAGCAGACGCAACCGACCCTCACGAAACGCTTTCATCGTCGTCTCACGCTGTTCCTGCGCAATGTCGCCGTGAAGCACTTGGCTGTCAGTCTTTATCTCAGGATGCACCGCAAGCTCATTGCAGTCCTTCTTCGTCTCTGCAAAAATGATCGTGCGGGTGTCCTTCTTCGTGTATACACCGAGCAAATTAGCCAGCAACGTCGGTCGTCCCTGCCAATGGCACGGAATCGCAATGTGCTGCACATCCGTCGACGCCTGATCGTCCGAGTCTTTCACGAGGTTGACAAACTCAGCCTTCTGCATGTACTTATCAGCCACGTCCTTTACCCACTTGGGGATCGTGGCTGAGAACAGCAACGTCTGACGTTTCGTCGTGCTCTCCTTCTGTACCTGCTCCATTGCAGCAAACACTTTCTGCACGTCTTCCCGGAATCCCATCTCCAGCATCGTGTCGGCCTCATCGAGAATCAGAAACTCGCAGTTGTGCAGACGCAAGTTGCCCCGGTCAATGTGGTCAATCACACGACCCGTCGTGCCTACCAAGATGTCCACACCGCTACGAAACGCGTTGTTCTGTGACTGGTACGACGCTCCACCGTAGATACAGACCGTGCTGAGCGACGGACCCGTCAGTTCAAACTCTGACGCCACTTGCTTCGCAAGCTCACGGGTCGGCGCCATGCACACCACACGAGGTGCACGACCACGCGAGCGCGGCCGCGTATCTCTCAACAGCAGTTCAATCACGGGCAGTGCAAACGCCAGCGTCTTGCCCATACCCGTGCGCGCTCGTCCCATGAGATCCTTGCCAGCCATGATCTTGTCAAACGTCATGGCTTGGATAGGAAAGAGCGTGTGGATGCCGCGTGCTTGAAGGTTGGTCCGCGTTTCGTCGCTAATGTCAAACTCGTCCAGTCGTGGGTTCTCAACGCCGCCCACTGTCGTCTTTTCACTCTCCATCTTGCGCTTCTTCAAGGCCGAGCGCGCAGCCGCATCGCTCTCGTCCGACGTCTCGGACACGGGGTCCGTGTCGTCATTCTCCTCCCCTTCGTCCTCGTTGTCCTTGCGGCTCCGCTTCTTGCTCGTCTTGCTCGTCTTGTCCTTCTTGTCCTTTTTGCTCGCCTTGTCCTTCTTGTCCTTTTTGCTCGCCTTGTCCTTCTTCACGCTGGACGACAACTTGGCTTCGCTTTGTTTCTTCGCGAGCTTCGCGAGCCTTCGGGCCGCCTTTTCTTCTTTGCTCCGCACGGGCTTTGGCTGCTCGGACGACGTCATGTCTCGACCAGTGGATACGAAATGGCAACACGCACCAATTGGCACTCGCTCGCGTCCGACCGATCGATCGATCGACAGAGAGAGCGAGAGAGCGAGAGGGAGACAGACAAACAGACAGTTAGCTACGACCGCCGCGCGCCAGTCAATTGATGCAAAGAGCTACTGGCTCCAACGGGTGGTGCGTGGGCCAGGACGTGTACCGCCATCGTGGTACGGCCACCCGCTCCTCGTATTTACATCTTTTCGTCCAATCCGACACGTCGGTTCACGTCGTCGGTTCACGATTGGAGGAAAAGGACTGTGTTTCGACGCACTCTGTCCCCTCGCGTTTCCAGCGCGGCCGAGCGCGCTCTCTCTCTCTCTTTTATCGCGTCGGTGCGGGTCCCTTACGTTGCGCGTGTCATGGCCGAACGCAGCGACACGTCAGCCACGTGGCCGAAAGGTGCGATCAACGACAGCAAACGGCCGCCGCTGCCGACGCTGTTCCACGCAGAGAAACGCGGCCGCGCGGCCCCTGGCGAGTCGACCACCGGCACCGGAAGCAACCGCCCAAGCAGCAACCGACCCTCTTCCAGCAACGTAAGCGCATCCAGCAACGTAAGCGCATCCAGCAACGTAGCCTCGCCCCCTCTGTCGGACGAGCTCCCGCACTTGGCCAGTTGGAAGTCGTCGACGTCGTCGACCGATGGCGCGTCGGGCGACGTGAACACGGGCACGTACACGCGCGTGTCGCTCAAGGTGAGGGCCCCCAGTCGGCTCGGCGAGATGGTGCACTGCTCGGGCTCGTCGTTCGTCATGGGCCACTTTAACCCGAACGAGAGCATGACGCTCGTGACGACGCCCGAGGACTACCCCTACTGGACGACGCTCAAGCCCATGATCTTGCCCCGGGGCGTGCCCCACCAGTACATGTACGCGCTGTTCTCGGGCGGCGTCTTTAGCTCGTGGGAACAAATCGCCTGCGAGCGCGTGCTCGTGCCGGAAGGACGCGAGATGCTCGTGGTGGAAGAGTACGGGCAATTTGATCGCGACATGGAGCTCGTGCCGACTGGCGAGCGCGTGGACCGCTCGCTGGTCTACGAACGGCGCAAGCTCGCGCAGCCGCTGTCCATGAGAATTGGGGACGCGTCCACGGAGAAGGATGATAACGGTGCGATGGCTGCGACGGCTGCTGCTGCTGCTGCTACTGCTGGAGCTGCCGGGGCATTGTGGACTGACCGGGAGACTGGAGCAACTCAAGCGACGGCCAGTGTCGCCGATGTCGACGACGACCAGACAGACAGCATCAGGTCTCCGCCAAGCAGCAGTGTCTCGGGCTCACCGAATCAGCGGTTCCGACAGAAGGACAAGATGCAGAGCCGATACAAGCGGTACATGCCATCGAACTATCGTCCGGCGCCCGATGCTGTGCTGTTTCTAGTGTGCTATCATTTGCCTGTGAAACTGACAAAGTCGGTCGAGAGTGGATCCTGGTCGGCTACGTGGAACCGCGACAGTCTGATCTCGAGGAGTGAAAACAGCATTGCAGAGAGCATGAACACGACGTGGGTGGGCTGTGTGACGTACCACGCTCGAAGCGATCGGGAAGAGCTTTCCGCTGACGACAAGAGCGAGATCACAGCGATCTTGGCTGAGATGAACTGCATTCCCGTTTTCATTGACCGCCAATTGGCAGCCAACCACCACGGCGGATATTGCAAAAACAAGCTGTGGCCCATGTTCCACAATGTGGATATCTTGGACATTTACTACGCCATTTGGGACCGTGCAGAAGTGATTGAGTGGAAAGAGGAGCGCAACAATGGTGAGTGGTGGGATGCGTATCAGACAGTGAACAGGCTACTGGCGAACCGCGTTGGCGAATTGTGCAAGGAAAATGACACGGTGTGGGTGCACGACTATCACTTGTTGCTGTTTCCGTCCTACCTGGCCAACACGTGCAGAAGCGAGAATCGCAAGCGACCCAAGATGGTGTTTTTCTTGCACGTGCCCTTTCCCACATCGGAGGTTTTCCGAGAGCTTTCGCACGGCACGCAGCTACTAGAAGGTGTGCTGGACGTAGACATTGTTGGATTCCACTCATTTGATCACGCTCGGCACTTCCTCAATGCCTGCAAACGCTTTCTGGGTCTCTCGTATCAGTCTCGACGCGGTGGAAACTTGGGCGTGGATTATTGTGGTCGCAATGTGATCATCACGATCAGCCACGTAGGCATTGAGACGACGCTGATTCGCGAGGTGCTTGACAATCCGGCTGTGCAGGAGGCAGCCCGTAACCTTCGCGAGAAGCATGCGGGCAAACTTCTCATTGCAGGTGTAGACGTCTGTCAGCGGCTGAGTGGTATTCCGCTCAAGATGCTTGCATTTGAACAGTTCTTCAGCAACTGCCCGACATGGAAGGATAAGCTTGTGTTTGTGGAGCGTGCTCACCGGACACAAAGCCGACAGGGCGATCAGAACTATAGCAGCAATGAGATCCGCGAGCTCGTGGATCGGATCACCAAGGTCTATGGTGCCGGGTGCATCGATTACGAGGAGTCGTCATCTCCATTTACTTTGGAAGAGCGCGTGGCGCTCTGGCTCGCCAGCGATATTTTGATGGTGACGTCTATTCGCGAAGGGCTCAACTTGAAGCCGTTAGAGTTTGTGTATGCAAAGGGTGTAGATCCTTCGAATCGACCGGGTGTGGTTATTCTTAGCGAGTTTTCGGCCTGCTGCTGTGTCCTGAACGGCGCTGTGCGTGTGAATCCGTGGAACATCACAGGCTTGGTGAACTCACTGGACCACGCATTGACAATGAGCGACGAGGAGCGACTTGGCCGTCGCGCACGGGACCTGCCCTACATTACTAGTCAACCTGCCGCAAACTGGACGAAACAAGTGCTGTCTGTTCTGCATGAAGTGACCGACAACCCGGAGGCTGATGAGGAGTACACGAACATGGAGTATACGGATATGGAGATCGGCCGCTCGCACGTGCTACGCGTCGGCGATCGATCGGACTTCAAGCAGTTGAACATTGACAAAGTCATGACAGCGTATATGCAGTCCAGTCGACGAGTGTTCTTGCTCGACTACGGTGGCACGATCATTGCGCGTGAAAACATTGCAATGTACATCAAGAAAGACTTTACCGCGGTGACGAGTAAACGGCCGTCTCCCCGCATGATCGAGGCACTCACGAACTTGACAAGCGATCCGCGGAACACAGTATTTGTGGTCAGCGGTGTGAGCAAGTCGAACTTGACTGCGTCGCTCGGACACATTCGCGGTCTCGGTCTTGCGTCCGACAATGGAGCATTGTACTCATGGGCTCGATCCATTAATATTGACAATCCTGACGACACGGATATGCAGGATGACAGTAGTTCAAGCGGTCGTCACTGGCACGAGCACAGATATAATTTTGACTGGGCCGCGGTTCGTGAGGTGGTCGATCCGATTTTAAAGGTGTACTGCACACGCACAAATGGTAGCGTATTGCGGCATGCTGAGCAGAGTATTGCCTGGAACTTCCGCTCGACTGATCCAGAGTGGGGTTTGCTGCAAGCTAACTCGCTGCAAAACGATTTGGAAGAGGTGATCCGCGACCTGCCAGTGAACATCATCCGGAAGAAGGGTCTGCTGGAGATTGTCCCAGAGGGTTTCAACAAGGGTGTGGTAGCGAGACAGATTTTGACTCAAGATGCGCGCATCAGCCACGGCCACCCCGACTTTCTCTTTTGCATTGGTGACGACACAACGGACGAGAGTATGTTCAAGGCAATCTACGACTACTATGCCGAGCGGACGGAAGAGAGTATACACGGGCATCCTGGCAGCACTAGCTACGAAGACTTTCTGGCTACAGGCGACGAAGGTCCGCTTCACCACGTCTTCACGTGCACAGTGGGTAAGAAGCCGAGCAACGCACATCTGTACGTGAACAATGTGGGCGAGGTCGAGCAGCTCTTACAAGCGCTGGGCAAGGCGTCAGGCGAGTTGCGTGGCACATAGCCACAAGGACGCTGGATGGATAGATGGATGGTGTGGCAGGCAGTCAGTCACTTGCGTGGAAACGGTGACGTTACTTGCGGTCCAGCAAGATCATACATAGTGCAAGCACTGCGATGGAAGGCAGGTATCCGTTGCCAGTGCTGGGCAGTCTAGTAGCGAACGACACGGCGGCAGCACTGCTGCGAGAGCGTTCGAGATGATGGACAATTGAGATGCAAGTGATCACTAGTCTACAAGTAGAGCTTCGCGATCGAACTATGAACGACGACCAGTTGATTCACTTGACCGTCTTCTTCTTCTCCTTCTTCTTGTTGTCTTCCTACTACACTATCTCTACTACCACTGAGTTTCGTATTTCCGATCGTCAACAAATGGACACTTCGGACGCTTTGCCGCAGGTTGGACACAATGGGGTCAAGAACCACGAGGAAAAGGCCAGCGAGACGTCGCCCCGGAGCGTCTCGAGGGAGACGATGCCGCGTCGCTGCGTGTCGAGAGAAATGCTCGAGCAGCTGCCGGCCCTCGAACGCCGTGTGCGTGTGTTCTTGTGTAGGGGTTTTCCGGTAGGGTGTGGACTGACTGTTGCTCTGCTACTTGTGCACGGACTTTTGGTGGTGCTCGTGGGGTACCTTCTTCTCGATCTTTGCAGATAGGGTACCACGAAGTGACGGTCCCCAAACCTTTCGGGTGCTTCTACTTGATGCGTCTTGTTGAGAGGTCCATCCAAGTGGGCGCTCCCTTCTCGTCAAAGCTGTTTGTGCCCAAGCAGATCTGGCAACAAGATCGGGTCAAGCTCGCCGGCGTCCCGCTGAAAGTCGAAGTCTTCCAGGAGCTGAAGCAGCGGCTCGAAAAGACCAGTGTACGTGCTGCTCCAGCCACTGCTGCTTGGTTCAGACGTCTGATAATGTGTTGGCTGCTGCTGTGTGTCTGTCTGTCTATGTGTCTGCTAGCACGCTCTGCCTCTGTCGTCCGACTCGGCCAAAGCTGCTTTTCTCACAGAGCTTGACGCGTTGCTCGACTTTGCACGACAAGAGCGCGTGCACTTGATCCGGTCGTTCCCTTTTCTACCACAGGATCAACGTCATGTTGTCCCGCACGTGATCCAGAGCGAAAGCAGTAACGGGGTGCGTCGAGAACGGACAGCAGGAGCTGATGAGTGTTCGTGCGTGTGTGTTTTTTCTCGATATGGGCTGATGGCGATGGCGATCTGTAGACGGAAGAGCGATCTGCGGATGCGAACGCATCGAGCATTGGCAAGCTGACAACTCTAGCCTTTGGGTTTGGCCGCATGGTCAAGAAGCAGGCTATTGCTGCAGTGGAACGCGTCGGAGCTGCGCCGTCCATTCTCGTGTACGTGTCGAGGTGGCAAAAGGAGGGAGCAACCGGACTAGTGTTGCAGTTGAGCCGACGTTTTGCTGGACTTGTGTTGTGCTTGTGTCTGCCAGGTCCATCGATGAGCTGGACGAATATGCCGCAGTGCTCTGCACGCTCTTCCACTCGACGCGGAGCATTAGTACGAGTGCACCATGTGAAAGATCAGTCGGCTGGGAGAAATGGTTTGCGAGCTGACAAAACTTGGCAACCGATTCTGTTTTGGTACAGAAAACCTTCTTGGATTACACCTCGACGCTCATGATGCACGAACTGATTCCGAGGCGGCAACAGGAGACTTGCAACTGGACTCGGCGACTTTGACGAAGCTAGAAGATCTCGGTAAGAGTTTCGTAGTTCTCGTGTCGACGGTGTCATCGGTCATGAACCTATTTGTTTGTTATGTGCAGCGGTTTTCCTGGATGAAGTCGTTCTTGAGCTTGTCATGCGTGACGTGCACAGTCTTTTGGAAATCTATCTGCAAAAGCTGACGCGACAATTCGGCGAGTTCTCCATTGAGCAGGCCCTGCTGAAACGTCAGCCGTCGATGTCAGCATAACGCTGTGCTCAGGCGAGTCTGCAAGTAGTCACGTCATGCAAATGAACATCTTGTATCCACTGCTCTGTTTATGTCTTGTATCATACGTCCATACCGGGTCGTCGGGTAGCGTCAACCAAATGGATACGTATTGCAGTACTCGTTGGGCACGCCAATCAATTGTGGGATCTTCGTGACATCCATTCTTCTCGAACATCGCAGTGCTGCCTTAATGTGTCGCGCTACGGAGATACCAAACAACGCGCAGTGGTCTTACGCTCCTCAAGCCTTTCGACCAGTGAGCACGCTCAAAGCAGTCGTCCGTCATCTCCACTGTCCATAGCAGCGAGCAGCCATGTGGTTACTTGACGATCGACTTCAGCAGACGAGCTGGTGTTGTTCTATTGACACTTTGTCAATCGATTCGGGCACAAGCCTCGAGTAGTAGGAATGTCCACGACACCGCAGATGCGTGGTCTTCCACTTCGCAGTCCAACAAGTCAACGCTTTGCTTATGCCACACACTAGTCAATCGTCCCAGTCCGAGTCGTCCGACGACGACTTGTCCCAATCAGTGTCATCAATCTTTGACCTACTCTCAGTCGCAGTCATTCGCGGTTCGACCACAGATGTAACACGATTTGGACGATGGGTAGCCGAGATGACCGGCGAGCTTTGCGCAGTTTGTCGAGTGCAGTGTCCACACATCCCGTTTGCCTGGAGCAGCTGGAACCCCCACCCACCGCAAAGTGAACATCGTAGTCGCATCTGAGCTGAATCCACGATGAACGCAAGGCGCAGCCGGTTGCAATGTGCGCAGACACCGTTCTTCTCTACCAGTCCAACACCGATGCCCTTGCAGCAGTCACACCTGCTCAACTCTGAACCAGACTGCATTCCGTTGAAGTTCGTGCCGTATCCATGCGCGTTTGCCAGTGTCGACTCGGAACCATACGGCACTAGTGCCGAAGGCATTGTCATCCCTGCTGCTGAGTGCGGAGGAGTCGACAGCATCGATTGATAGCCTGGTGGCACCATCTCTGGAGGATACATCGGCATCGGCACGGGAGGCGGTTGCATGTATGGATAGTAGTATCCGTACGGTGCGGGTGGCGGTAGCAGCGGAGGCATCATCATGTACGGATATGGTGGGTACATACCGCCACTGAAAAGCGACGGCCCAGGCTGTCCACTTGCTGTACCAATTCCGTTGTTGACCATTTCAGCGTTCACACTGTTGCTGCTATCTGTGTGTGTCTCTGAGACCTTCGCCTGCTGCGTATTGACCTGGCTACCGTTTCCATGCAAGTGTTGAGCTGCCATTGCTGCTTCCAATCTTGCCACTCGTCGCCGTTCACGTCGCAACTGCTTCTCCGTTGCTTTCACTCTCTCTTCTGCTTCATTACTAGGTAAGCGTGCGCCAGTCGTTTCGTCCAGTTTATTTGAGCTGGATGCTGGCCGGCTTTGTGATGCTTCCGGTGCCACCGACCTCAGCTTTGACGCGGCCAACAACTCCTTTTCACGCCGTTTTTGCGCCCGACGCTCTTTGCGCACGCGCTGCTTTTCATCACAATCAGCGTCAGGATGCGTCTCAGAGCTAGGTCTGCCGTACGTTGGGGGTTGGCCGTTTTCGACACTTTCCACTTGCTTTGTTGACTCGCGAGTGGTCGAGGTGTCACATTCGTTTCCTCGGCTTTGGTCTTGTCTTTCGTGGTCCACACATCCGGCTGCAACTGCATCGGTCGTTTCCTCACCTTGTTCCGCTGTGCTTTCGACAGCAACAGTTGCGTGTTGTCGTCCGTTTTGCCCATCTTTGACCGTCTCGTAACGATCAGGCTCATGCTCATCGATGCACGCACCACGCGTGCTATCGCTTTCGTTCGTCGTCGTCTCTGCTTCCCCCTCATTTCGGTCGTCTTTCTTTTCTTCCTGTGGCTGGTCGCGCAGCTGTTCCACTTCAAGCTCCTCTGCACTCGGCTGCTCTCGCTGCTCTTCCCGATCTCTAGCAATCTGCTCTTGGCGTCTTTTTCGCTCTGCTTTTCGTTCCCTTGCTTCTTTTTCCTTTTGCATTTGCTGCCGCTTGCGCTCTTCTTCTGCCGTCTCTTGCTCTTTCCAAGTCACCCTCTTTTTTTCACCCCCGTCTTCTTCTCGCTTGGTTCTTCCAGCAACGACTCCTTTTTTCATCATGTTGCTCGCAACTTCTTCCATAAACGGATCACTCGCAACGCTTTTGCGCTTCCACATCATACTCTCCTGCCTCTTTTTCCGCAAGAAACGCAATCGCTCGGCTGCGCTCATGCCAGCCGTCTCAGCCTCGTGCTGCTCTTCCACCGACACTGACGGCACCTCCACCGTCTGCCGATCTCCACTCTCCATCCTGTCGTCGTGTCGGCGAGGCGCATGGGACGCAAGACCTGGTCCCGCATGCATAGCCCCCAGTCTCCCTTCTAACGACGCCTGGAGCTGCTGGAACACGGTGCTCGAGGCCGGTCCAGCAGTCCCTTCAGCCTCTCTCTTCGTTGCCTTTGCTCCCATTTGATCGCTTGGTCCGTCCTCCAAGTGCTCTATCAAAAGTTTGCCAGTGTCCAACACACTCTTTGGTTTCCTCCGCTTGTCTCGATTCGACCGACGGCGACGTGGGTCGCGGTGCTCAGCGATCGCCTCTCGCTTCAGTACCTCCGACGGCAGCGACCATCGGCTCTCCTTCGTTGCGGCATTGTAGAAGTACCGGTGGCCTTCTGGAGACGTGAACTGCTCCCATCCGTCTGGCAGCAATGGAGTCGGGTCGTTGTCGTCGGGTGTCTTGGACATGAAGCGGTTTGTGTGCGTACTTAACGAGCGTAACTACTGCTGCGTGAGGAGCCGGGTAAACGTTCGATCGCGTGGCGTTACTTACGGACGTCGAGGGGATGAGCCGTTACTTCACGTCATCGACGACAACAACAGCGATGACAAAAAGGACTGTCGCTGCGACTCAAATCGGAATACAAAAAAGCGATGCAAAATGCTGCTCCTCTTTTTACCCAGCATATGTTGTTTTGACATCGCGTGCGGCGTGCTATGTAGCTTCGATATGTCCAATCACCCGCTATGTTGCTTGTAGGCGCCAACCTAAGAGTGCATACGAATTGAGAATCTACATATCTTTTTGCATTCGAATTCCCATCGATTCATTTCGGAAAATAGGGCCGCGTGCATTCTGCAGACGGATCAAAGTCGAGCACTTTGTATATCAACTGACTGAAGCGCAGTGACCAACAGCTGTGCCATTGCTGCACTGTATCGTGGCGTCCAAATTGTTCTCTGTGCCGCACCTGTGATACATTGATACCCACCACTGCCTGTCTCACAATGATCACACATGTATCACACTGATCGCATCGATATGGAAAGACATGACGTGACATAGCTACTCGACTTGTCAGCAAGAGTGCTGGCGGTTGTCCTCATTGTTTTGGTATTGTTTTTGCAAAACCATTAGGTCATATCGGCGAGACTGATCGAGGACCTACCTGCCAATCTGTAAACGGGCGGCCGATTAGCAACCATCCAACTGATCTTGATGAAGTCCATCTGACTTGTATGAGAAATGTCTCTTTTTGACATTCATACGGTGCACCTCAACATTCCACGAAACCGCTTGCCTGCCTTTATACACCGTCGATCTTGGTATGCAGACATACTATGACCGATGCGATGGTGGTCCGATTATGCAGTGATCGACGTGATGGCAGTGAAGGCGATGGTATAAACTTGGCGAGTGTCGACATGTTCGCAGTTAATGCAACGTATGACCATCTGAGCTAAAAATTTGAACGTCATTCCAAAACGCCTCGTAGGTTCTCAATCCAACTGACTCGCCAGGTGTACCGAGCGTGACTTAGAGGTGCCCTGGTAATTCATCGATGCGGGTGGGTCGGTGACGATTACCAGCGGCAAAGTGTACATGCAACCCATACGTGTGCAAAAGTTATCTACCAGAGGTACACTGTGTTGTGTTAAAGAAGCAGGAGATATGCATGTTGCAGTTGAGTCGTGTATATCGTGAGCGACGTCTTGCAGTCCAACACAATAAGCAGAACCTTGTTCGGACTCGAGAGCCTGAGATGCGTTCGCCACTCGTAAATGCTACGTGCGCCTTTTAGGTTGGCGAGGAGGAAGTGGCCTTACCATAAAGCACTACGCACTTGGGCATAGCTTCGTGGACTTCATCAGGTAGAAAGCGGACGCATGAGCTATCGACCGGATCGTCATAAAGTCATGCATTGAGTGTCATCGCGATCGGTACTACGTGTCGACAGCGTAGCTTAACGGTAATACGGACAACATGAACATTTCGCACACCATTAGGGCCAAACAGCATGGAAGCTGAAGTGCTACTCGTCGGGCTATCCCATTCTCATCTTAGCGATGTGATCGAGGTGTAAAGGTCGACAACGAACAGAATCTAGAGGACGTCGCACTGACGGACGAAGAGGAATGCGGTTGTTTGTCGCGCGTACGAGAACATCTGCGTTCAATCCTGAAGTTCCGACTTGTGATCGGAACAATGTCATCCAAGCAGCGTCACGTCGGCCAGCAAAATTGCACTGAGGTCGACTTTTTATGGACTCAGCGCGTAAATAATCGCTCACAGTCGTCTGAGCGCTTTCTTCTTGTTGGCCTTCTTTTTCTTCAGAGAGGCCTCGACGTCGCTGTCAGACTTTTTCGTCTTTTTCAGTGGCGTTGACACCACTACATCCGAACCGACATTCGAATGTGCAGCGCCGTCAGCAGACCGTTTGTGTTGGTTATCCATACTGTTGCTGCCACCACGGCACTTGTTTTTCTCGTCTTTGCCACTCGTTTCTTCAGTGTCTCCGTTCGTTAGCGCCGACCGTTTCGGGGCATGGATACTCGTCCATAGCTTTGCACGTCGTGCGTACTCGTCATAACTCTCTAGAAACAGCTTGCCAGCCTCATCGTTCAAAGAGGACTCGGGAAACGGGACAATGAGCAGACAGCGCACCACTTGCAGCACATGGGCGAGTCCGAGCATCGGCTGCCAATCCTTTTTTAGTGTATTCACGCAAATCTCTCCTGCCGGCTGCGACACATTGGGATGGAAGATCTTGGTCAGGAAAACCCCACGCGGCGGGTGCGCTGGAAATTGCTCAGTGATTGTCAGCTTCACCGAGAAGTAGCCGCCTTCGTAGGGAGTGTCTTCTGGTCCACGAAGTTCGGCATGAATCTCATTCAGTTGCTCTTTTTCCTGAGGGAGGTACCGGATACCATCCAAGGGGTGAAATACGAGCGCTTGGAGCTCACGAGCAACGCGTTGAGCAACTTGGAACGGTAAGTTTTCCCGCGTCAGCTACAAGTCATGAATGATAGACAATGATAGAAAGTCAGTAGACGGGGCAGTGAGTGTTACACGTTTGATCATTTCCAATCTCTTGTCGTCGTAGAAAACCTCAGCGTGAATATGCATTGCAAAACAACGCAAAGACGATCGAGAGACACGAATAGACACGATACGTGTGGAATGCACCGACCATTGGAAGCGACGAGGTAACAATACTTGCGGATACGAATCGACTGAGACTTTGGCGCGGACTAAATTCGAATGACGGGTTTGCGACGGGCCACCAAATCGTGATGTGGGACACATTGACACGGCACGTTGACGAAACGTCGCTGGATTGGCTACACTTTGACAAAGGGTCACGTAGATCAAAAGATGTAGCAACGGAAGAACAGTATTGAGCAATGTAGCGGCGTTTGTAAAGAACGCTCACACATATACTAGGAGCTCTCGGTAGTTTTGAGCTTTAATTGTACTGCGAATGAATATTCGACGTCGTTCCCAAGTGCTGCGGCAATTTAAACTTGAGTCGCGCCCAATTGGACTACCATCCAAGAAGGTCGATCATCCGTTGCACCACTGGAAGGTGGCATTCGTGCACCGAGATTGCAGGACAGCAGATCCCACACTTTGCTGTAGTCCTGGGCATCGGAACGAGTGCGTTGACTTGGATGTCACCGCGCTATGGAAATTGTGCACCTCTTATCGCACCCGTGACGGTCAATACGTCGTCTTGGTCGATCATGGGGTATCTAGATATCAGAAGTCCTTGCCGCACCAGCACCTTGTGTTCACGGCTTTATTGTCACGCCAAGCGACCTCCATCGCTGCGAGCAACGCTCCGTCTTGGTCCATTTTGTGCACAGGCGGCGAAGAACAGCAAAAGGACGTACAGCCACATTGCTGCTTCGATGCCTTGAGTTCCAAGCTTCGAGACCGCTTGTGTCGGATCCGAAAACGTTTCGCTGTGCTGATCAGAGCAAGCCACGTCGTCCATGGAAAGCTGTAGCTCAGACTGCAAGTTCTCGTGATCCTTGCGACTTGGTGTGTAGTCTATAATACTTGCGAGCTTTCAGATGCGCATTACGTGAGTAAATGCTAGAACGACGCTCATGATGGGGACAGAGCTGCTGCCAAATGGCTTTACATGATGCTACATCGGCGCTCATCGCCACCCTCGACAAAGCGTTCAATGTCTTCATCCGTGATCGTGCCTGCGTTCATGTTTTTCGGGAACATATCCTTCACAAGCACGCCTTCCATGTCCGATCGGATATAAAAGAGCAAGTAAGCAGACGGGCTGACCACCTGTTGTTCCTCGACAACACGGACCCGCTCGTCGTCGTAATAATACCACTGATCGTCCACAAAGCTTTTCGCGTACGCCGTGTAATGGCCACCACCGAGTGCACCCTGGTGGTTCACAACGCCGTACAAATTATACCGGGTTTCGAGACAACGTGACTGGTCCAAGTTCGAGTTCGTATATCCACGACGCACGCGATTGCGTACCGCTGCTGCTTGAAGTGCAGCTGCACGATCACTATCGGCTGTTGACGATATGGTGTCCGGCGCGGCCGTGCTACCAGCTTCCGCGTCTGACGACGGTTCTTCTTCACCTACGACAGAGGCATCTGCTGACGGCTCGCTATCCACAAGCTTTTCAGCCGATGTATCTTCGCCCGGTTCTTTATCTGTCGGTAGCTCATTGGTCTTATCAGTGTCGGATCGAGCAGCTTCATTCGACGTGTTGTCAGATCCGCTGCTACGCGTGCTCCCACCTCGAGACCTGAGCTTCATGAGCTTTCGTGCAGGGGCTGGTACCAATTTACCTTTCGGTCTTTTCAACGGATACTTCTCCGGAATGTCGGCATGAGGAGCCACGCAGGCCGAGAGGTCCAAATCATGAATCGGAAACTCAACAAGCGAAGCTAGCTTCCGACGGTAAGTCTGTGTGTACTGAAAACGCTTCAGGTGCACCACCATCACGGGCGGCAAACGCCAGATCTCGAGCTTCTTCGTCATTTCCTGGTGTCGTCTGCAGCTAGAGCAGTAGCCCTCACTGATCTTCTCTTCGCTCGTGAACGCGTCCAAGCAGTGCTTCAAGGGAACTGGGCCCTTGTCGATGGCCTCGTTACGTGCGACGCTATCGTGGCTCTCGATCTGCTTCATCTTGTCCATCATCTCACGGTCCTGAAACACACTCAGGTCCCAATCGATAGCAATAGCTTCTTCTTCCAGAATGTCGAGGGGATCGGACGTACACGGAATCGTGAAACCGAAGCTCCGCGTGAGCCACGACGACCGCGAATCAGTCAGCCCCTTGTTCTCAACACGGCGCAGCAAGAACCCACACGTTGAGCTAAATGTCACGGAAGCATTGTCGAGACCCGCAAAAACGCTGTCAATGTGGTTAGCAACCAGGCGGTCGGCGTCTTGCGCGTCTTCGCCTGCCCACTCGGTTGGAGGTAGCGCGTTCGGGCCCACGTACCTCTTCACGCGTTCCCACACTAGTTGATACAAATCGAGACCACTAGTAAGCTCCGGACAAAGCCGAACAATGTTTGGCGAGCCAAAGGGAACAGGCCTGAACGGGTTCTTGAAGTACACAGCCGAGTAACTCAGCTTGCGCGAAAGCAGGGGGATGTATAGCAGTCGCGCTTGGCGAGGTCGCAACCTGCTTAGCGGAACCTTCAGCTCATCCTCTGAACGATGGAGTCGAACGAGCACAACAAGTTGGTTGTCATGGTCGGCGTGTGCTACGGGTGGCTCCAGGACGACTGCCGCAATGTGCTCGTGCGACTGCGCTCGCATGCGCACATCAACCAAAGAACCCTTTGACAGCTTCTCATAGAAAGACGAGAAATCAGCTTCTTCTTGTCGTGGTCCACCCGCCCCACCCGCCCCAACAGCTTGAACATATGACGGACGGCGATGCTGCGTGGCCTGAAGTGTTACTGCATCGAGCGGTTCCAGCTGAAACGCAATGAGCCGGTCAATGCTGCGGATCTGTCCTACTCGGCGGTTGTCTGCCTTGAAGCTCAGTATTGTTGACCCGCTGAACTCGCACAGCTTAATGTCGCTCTCCGACACGCCAGGCAGGTCAAACTCCTCGTGGCACATCTTCATTAGTTCGTGCTTGAGGTCAAAAATCGTTGCTAGAATACTCAGTCGCACTGAAACTTTTACAGGAGTCACTCCGTTTGCAAGCATCAGCTGCACCGTTACCGTGTTATGCTTGGGCTCGGGCAACGGAACCTGCAGGAAGGTGAAAGGCTCGAATCGTGCGGACTTGAAGCTGCAGACACTGCATGTAAGCAGTGACTTGTACTGGCCAGTGAACAAAGCCACAATGATCGATACTTCACGTCGGAGATGATTGCGCCACCACTCATCGGCAAGGTCTGCATCGTAACGGCCATCGCTATCGGGCTGCTCAATATAAGGTTTGTCCTGGATACGGTTCAGGTCTTCGCTAAGTCCGCTCAGCAGAAACGCGAGTAATTCCTGCGCGTCTTGCTGATCGTTACCACGAAACGCCTCATTAAATTTGCCGATAGACTTTTTGAAGTTTCTGGGAGATATTGATTTCTGTTTGACACACCACATGTCTTCAGCAAGCTTGCCGTAAACTTCCGCCAGCTTTCCTTGAAGTCCAAGCGTGCTGGTACGGTTGATATCCTCCAAATACATCCCCGACAGGAAGTATTCGGCCAGCAACTTCGTGTTGGTCAGACACTGCAAGGCGGAGTTCATATAACACGTATTGCCGAGATTGGTGAGCCCGACCGAGCCACCCGAACGCATCCGCCGAGGGAGGGCAAATTCCTGCTTTTGACATTCCTCCTCTCCAGATAACACTGAAGCGGATTCGTTCTCCACATCGTCGCCCTTCTCCTCTTCCTCAGACGTGTCGTTTTCCTTTTCCTTCGCTTTCTTCTGCAACGCTCGTTTCTTTGCATCGGATTCCCAAATATCCAAACGAGACTCACCGTTGGCGGCAACGACTACCTGCCGCTGAATCTCGGGGCCACCACCGTACCACAATTTGAGCGCCATCCACAACTGCTCGGAGATGATGACATAATGACGACCAAGCTTTATATCCTCAGACGGCTTGAGTATCCGGTCACGACGATCATTCGTCAGCAGGGGGTAGTTGTTGATGCACTTTGGGCGGACGATCTCTCCCTTCAGGTTTTTCATGTAGTTGTCCTTGTTCGCAGAGCCACTACCACTAGCCTGCACCTTAGACATACTAGGAGTAGAAGTTGCAGATGTGGTAGGGCTCGCAGCAGGAGGCGAAAGCGACAGAGATTCCTTCACATGAATCTTGATGTATCTGCACCAGTGTATATACCACTTGCGCTCGATCAGGTACCATCGGTCGTTCTCCACCAATGTTGTACGATCGTATGGAATATAGCACCCTGCCACAATCAGCAACTCCTCCTCCTTATTGGCCGGAACTAGACCCAAATCGATAAATGCAACTTCGCGGATGATTCGTAGTGTCGCCATCTCGTACTTTTGCTTCACCGTCCATGCTGTAAACTCGCTCAGTGTTAGTGTCAAAGCCTCAGTCCGCGCCGACGATGAGCCTGCATCCCAGATGCTCCTCCGGTGTCCAAAGCTCTTCATGACACCATCGACGAACACGCCCAACTCAGATCCTGATACTGACGGTGTTCTCGGACCCATACTCTCGATCAAGGATGAGGATGATGAGCTCTTCGTTGCATTCAGCGAGGGCTGCTTCTTTTCAATGAGCGTTGTGATCTGATTTTCTAGGTCCGGATTCTGCGTAATGTCCAGTCGAAGCATGCCGTATATATCCTCACGGGTCATAAAGGAACCATCACCAGCACTTGCGAAAAGCTTGAACGCAAAGGCAGCTTTTTCATTAATGCTACCTCGGCAAGCTGTAGACAGTGCACTCACAAAACTAAACACGTCAATATCGCAACCGTTTGCACGCGAGCCAAAGCATGAGAAAACGCGACAGAATCGCTCCTCAGACATTTCCAGCGGAAAATCACTAGTTAGCGCATCCACGTCCACCGCATCGCCGCCTCCAGAGGCACAGTAGTTGTTGAACGCATCTTGCAGAATAGCTACTTCCTTCGCATTAAAGTGCGTTTCGTTGGCGAGGATCTTCTGCTGCACTGCAGGATTGAATTCTTCCTGTGACTCCAGTAGCTGCGGGTTGGCTGTCTCGCAAAGAATATCGGCAAAAGGCGCCATCCAGTCCACAAGCGTGTGGTAAGCTTGGAGTTCGGGCACAATCTTGATAAAGTCATCGCAGCCCATGCGGACACGACCCTGATCAAAGCCCTCGTTCAACAGACGGCGGTATTCCGGCCGATCCAGCACATGTCGCCCCTGCAGCGACACCAAGAAATTATTGAGCCCAGAACTCTGCACTTTTCCTGCGTGATCCAGATCGCACATGTTGAAGATAAATTGGAGCTGGTCCCCCATCGTGCCGCAGCGTAAAATTGCCACTGCGCGCAGGAATTCGTCCATGTTAATATCAGAGCCTTGTCGGTCCGACACTGCTTTCATGAAACGCATCGCAAAACTCGACGGCATGTCAGGGAAAACACCAAGAATGTCGCGACGGAAAGATGCGCGGCTGATACAAATCTGCGATCCCGCCGTGTGCGTAAGGACACCGGGACGACTTGCGTGCTCCTCTGTCGCGCCGTCTTTTGACGGCTTCCCCACACTAGCCGAGTTCGTTGTAGTTGTCTCTTCGACTGGTGACGTCGGGGTTCGTCCGCTTGCGGGTCCTGATGAAGTCGGTGCCGCACTGCTCGCAGAACTGCGCGAGCTGTCGACTTCTGCCGTTTGTTCACTGGCTGTGCTGCCATGGTACAAATACTTGGACGAGCACAGGCGCTTGAAAGCTGTCGAAAAGTCCTCAAGCAATTCCGGTGGCAGCATATTCTTCATCCGCTCTGATTCCAGTTCCTTCTTGTGTCGTTGCATCTTGCGCTCGTACGACTCCATGTGCGCATATACTTCCAAAAAGTTAAACAGCGGCACGCGGATCAGCGGCCGGATGTCGAGCACTTCATTAATATACTTTTCCAATTCGCTTCGCCGCTGCTCCACAACGCTTTGATGGCGATTGCGAAACACGTGGCGTTTCGGGAAAAACAGCTGTTTCACAGGCGAGCTTGTCCGCTTGAGTCGGTCGTGGAGCTCCCGAAAATCCGAATAGCGCTTGCGGATGAGCCACTGCAGTCCGCCTTGCAGTCGCACTTCGACGGAAAACACTGTATGTGACGCCCTGTCAATCTCTGTCTCCGTGACGCCGTCCGTCGGCAGCATCACGCTCTCAATTTCAAACGAAGGTGCAGTCCCAGAGGATACACCTGAGTGTGCCAGTCCAGCGGTCTGTTGTTCCTTCGAGCGCAGACCAATGAGCTCACCCGAAGTATGAGACCTCTCCAGTGTAGGAAACGCACGAGCACTTTCCGATTCCACAACAAGTCGGACCGCAGGATCGCCATCAGACGTCGTGGCGTCCGTTGACTCCAACGTGATACCCAGCCCGTCCATGGACGACGACGTTACTGACGACGGCGACGGTGACATGGCGGCGTCCGGTGGCGTCGCGGCATTGGGGGTAGAGACTGCGTTCTGCCCGTCGTCATCACGCACCGACAACTCCAGCGCCGACGAAAGTGACACAACGTCTTCTTCTGCCTCCTCTTCTGCCTCTTCTTTCACGATTTCCACCTCCTGTTTTGCCTCCGCTTCTGCCTCCGCTTCTGCCTCCATCGCGTTTGCCTCTTCTTTTGCTTCTTCCGCCTCCTCTTCTGCCTCTTCGGTCTCCTCCTCTGCCTCTTCTGCCTCCACTTCCACTCCGGCAACTGATACAGCGCGCGTGCTGTCTGTCTCGCGCCCGCTGTCATTCGCCGCCATCGCCGCGTCGTCTCGACGCTGCTGCGCCAATACGTTGGCAGGCAAACTCGAGGCCTTGCGCAACGTGGCAGCAGACAGCGACTCGGTGGTTGCGGTCTCTGCCATACCGGCGAGAGGGAGGAGCCCAAGTGCGCCTGCGTGCGTGCGTGTGTGCGTGCGAAGAGTGCACGAGTGATGGTCAGGTGCGCGTTGCGCTGCGGGTCCGCGCGGAGGAGTTTTTCGCACTGTCGTTTGCTCGCGGTGTGGAGAAGGAGTAGTCTATTCCAAAGGATCGGCGCGGCTCGTGCGACCGTCTGAGCGAGGGCGGGGCGCAGCTCAGCGAGTACCTCTGAAATAGAATCACGGGCTCGGGATGGATACCGAGGCAGAAACGAGCCATTTTTCCATTGTAAACAGAGCGAAAGAGAGCGAAAGAGATGCGATGCTGCTCGATGTATCGATGATACCTGATGCGACGGGGACCACGAGTGGACACGAAAAAGGGCTGCACGGCACTGCAATGCGACGTTGCTGCACACTGTTGTATTCGTCTGTCGTCGCGTCGCCATTGAAGCTCACGGCGTGTTGATAGTCGACAGATTGTGGGGCAGGCACTCGACGGTGGGCAATCTATAGCTCCATCGCTGCGTTTGTGGCTTCTCCCCCTCGTCGTCGCGCAGTTTGTCGTAACGACACTCTGACCTTTGTGGTCCAGCTAGAGAGTGTGTCTACTGTGGCGACGTATCGACCACGGCCGAGCTTGTGCTTCTTCGCTGACGCTCCGGGGCCCCCCTCGACGTCACTGGCAGGCGCAACACCTCAATCAGCTGTATCGGAACGAAGGAGCTTGCGGTCATGTGGTGACGTGTTGACGGTTTCCAAGCTTCACGGCCGCGAGTGGACGCTTCGTACGACGCCTTGAGACGTGGACACGTCGTCACTGCTTACCAGTGCAAAGGCTTGGCCACCTTCTAGTGTACCGTTCTGCTATCGTAAGCCGCACGCAACAGTTTGCAGAGCTGCTTCTGCAGTCACGGCAAATGGCCATTTCCATCGGTACGCAGATGGCAAGCATGCCGGACGCATAGTTGGATCGATGCAAAGCGATTGTGCTTCTACCATGAGCCTTGCCGTGCACAATTTGTCACTAGCACGGACGTGTCATCGCCTAGACGGTGTCATACCCGAATTGAGATACCTTCGCGAGTATCGACATCGTGAGTAGAACTTTACTGCAAATATGATTCGTTTCGCTTGCCGTATCTCGATAGTCGTGCGTGGCGTCTTATGAATTCGCATTTGCTTCTTCATGTGCTCTGTATCATCGACTCGTCGACTTTTCGTTGGCGGTAAGACAGTATCTCGTATGATCGCATGCTCTACGATCCAACTCATCGTGCTTTTGCCCCTTTGCGAGGCAACCACACGAAGCAGTCGCAAGTTCCGATAGCTCGTCGTCTATCGAGTCCGTCTATTCCCGTGTCTACTAGTCGAGCGTTTTTCTTGGCAAAGTATTCACTCGCTTTCTGCCGCAGAGGCTGCTTTCTGCCGTCGCCGTTGACTACACATACAAGTAATCCCTTGTCGCACCTCCGTTGTGTCTGCTGTAAAGCGCGACCATTTCCAGTATTCATCAATCCGATCGAGAAGCTTTTGCATTGAGTCAAGTCCGCTCCTCCAAAGCGGTCCTGTTTGCATTGGTGGCAGTAAGTTGCCAGTATATTGCCAGCAATCCTAGCCAAATCGATGTGCTCCCGATGACATGACGTCCTCGACAGCAACGAGCGAGGTGCGAAAATGATTTTGAGCAAACTCGGGTCGAACGCCGCAGACGCAACTCGATGCTGTGTGTCAGAACGATGACCGCAGAGACGAGCATGTCACATCGGGCTAATTCTTGTTCCCTTATAGCGACTGCAAACGAATAATGAAGCTCACAAGCAAGTCACCACCCCACATCAATCGAGCAACGCTGACGCCTGCTTCAAAATCTGCAAGGTCGGGTCGTCGAAAAGCAGTCTCGACAAAAATGGACCCACGACAGCGGGAAACAACTCATCCGGCCATGCACGAACATCAATGCGCATTTGCCAAACGATCGCAGTGGAGGCGCTGGCAGCTGTGACCACACTGTAGTAGGTGTAGGCCGTTGGGGTTGAAAAAAATGCTGGACGTTTGTCACGTTTTGCCGCAATTGATACCAAACTTCACCGAACACGTCAAACGACGAGGCGTTGCTTCTGCCATTTCTGCGCTTTGACAACCATCGGACGTGCGCCCGATTTTCTTGGCTTTTGCTCGTGCTGGCAACGCAACGGCGAGAACATGGACCAAGCCTTCGGTTCGTTCTCGTTACACCGAATACCACCTTCTCAGCACTTCTCCAGCAGCCATCGAATGACCCCGGTACAACTTGGAGTCAGGCCCGCATGCCTCTGACAGAAGACGAGAATACGGTACAACCAGCGCGGCATCCCCTCCTACTCATACTCGACCATTGTGTCCGACATAATTCAGTCCAAACAAGCTGTCGATCAGCTTCAAAGTGCCTGGGCGGCCATGCTCTAGAGAATTCGCATGTGGTTTTTGCTAACGGTCTGCGGTACAGTTCACATCGTCTAGAAACGCCGTACTCTGCAAACCCTGACCCAGCGCGTACACGAGCATGCTTTCCTCTGCTATGCCGACCACTCTTTTTTTGCTGTCGCTCCTACAAACGCGTGCAGTTGCTTTTGCGCAATCGCAGATACATGTTGCTGTGTGCACGTATGTCCAAAAGATCAGTGCCCGTGTACATTAGCGATAAATCCATCGAGACCAGGGCTTACCATGTAAATACAGCAAGATAGCAAGCATGGCGCTTGATGCCAAGGTGGAGATAGTGCGGCCTCAATAAGGTCGTAAGCCTGGACCATGCTTCTAGTGCAGCAACATCAAAGAAGCAGACGTTGCTGACAGCACTAAGATGCTGCTAGCTTGCCATCGGGTGACGACGCGTTGACTACGCATGTCCAAACAATCGTACATCCATCGTGCTAGGAAACATTTCACCACAGTTTCTGGCGCCATACTGGCGAGCATTATGTTGTAATAATCCATGACCAGCGACAAGAACTTGTGCTCGAGATATGGTCGTCTCCACCAAGCAGTCGGATCATAAAAGAACGTGGCCACATCTTCTGGCCACGAAAAGCACGACCTCGAGGACGACTAGTCGGCATGCAGCACTCGACGTCCATCCGGTCTGTGGTCTTCCACATATGAACGCATATTTTGCCAGTTCTTCGGTACGAAACGCAAGAATCCCGACTTCTGCGCACTGCACTGGACATCACAGCCACACTATGTGCAGATACGCGTTTGCGTCAACTGCACCTCGACGCATTCGACCGTCTCGTCTTCGCACGTCACAACCAGCTCAGACTCGACAGCGTAAGCCCAAAGCATCAACAGATGGTACAAGGACACTTTCAACCCTTTGCACCATCGCGCAACGATAAACGTAATGGCCGTCACAAAAAGCACATCAAAACACGGCCACGTCCGTCCGTTGTTGCCCGCAGATCACTCCGTGTACCGCGCATCGCGACGAAGGAAGACACCAGTAACATACGATAAAGTATGACGCCCTGTATCGCTAGTGATAGCACCAACGCACGAGCGCGCGGTCACTCCTGAGCAGCCCACCCGACCACATGTCGACTCTGTGAAGCTCATGTCGCTGGGTGCGGTCGTCTTCGATGGGAAGAGTCACTATTCGATTTCGCTCGAGTGACCATGTAGCCCATCGACGAGGCACAAGAGTCTACGATGGGAACCGACGCGATCGTGTCGCCACGTAAGCGTCTCCCGCGCCTGAACGTCGACCACGACGTAGCACAGAGCTGGAGTGCTGACGACGAAGGAGACGCGCAAGACGCAGCTCCGCTGTCATCCATCGCGCTGTCTTCGCCGTCCATGGCGTCGCGCTCGAGTGGCGAAAAGACCAACAAGACAGGCCAGACGCAGTCGCCACTGTACGATCAGATCGACCTGCGGGACGATGACGATGCAACAAGTGCGAATCTCGTTGGCAAAAGTGACGGGACGAAGCACGCGAGCGACGAGGACCGACGCTCGGCTGTCCAGCAGCTATGCAACTGGCTGCAACGGCTGCGCCAGACGTTTGGCACGTCCTTCCTCTTACTCGTGAGCACAGTGTACGCTGTGCAGGGCTTCATGAGCTTTAGTGCACTGGCAGTCAACTACTTTTTCAAGGACAACTTGCAGTTGCAGCCAGCCGAGTCGCAGTCGCTACTGACTGTCATGATGGTGCCATGGGGGATCAAGCCGCTGTATGGCATTATTTCGGACAGTTTGCCGCTGTGTGGATACCACCGCAAGTCGTACATGATCCTGTGCAGTGTACTTGGCACGATTTCGACTCTCATGTTGGCTGTGCCGGACCTGATTACGACTCCACTAGGTGCCGTGCTGGTGCTCATGCTGGGCAGTCTGTCGACGGCAGTGATTGACGTGGTCATCGATGCAAGAGTTGTCGAGATGTCAAGATTGGACCCAAAGTATGGAGCGAATGATTTGCAGTCAGTGTCTTGGGTGTCTGTGTCAGTGGGTGGCGTGCTTGGCTCCTTCCTCTCTGGTCCTGCAACGCACAATTTGGGCGTCCGTGGCGTGTTCTTCTTTGCGGCTATTGGGCCGCTTACGATCTTGGTTCTCTCCACGTTTATGCATGAAACGAAAACAACGGTGAGCAAGCGTCACTGGAAGACCTCAGCCAAGAGGCAGTTGCAACAGCTACGAGGTGCAATTTGCACGCCCGTCATTTGGAAGTGCGCGCTTTGGGTATTCCTGTCAGGTGCTATCAGTCCAGGGTACTCGCAGGTGTTTTTCTACTTTTCGACCGAAGTGCTAAAGTTTACTCCCGAGTTTCTAGGAATTGTCACCGCCTTTGGTTTTCTCTTCTTAGGCGTGGGCACTATGCTGTACAACGCGTGCTTTAAAGACATGTCGTTCCGTCGCATCTTCTTGATCGCGCAGATCAGTCTGGCTGTTGTATCACTGCTGGACGTTGTTCTGGTTACGCGCTACAACTTAGAGATGGGCATCCCCGACAAGGCGTTTGTGCTAGGTGACGCCGTTGTCGCAGACGTTATTAGTCGCTTGAAAACCATGCCTGTGATGGTTCTATCCGCCAAGCTCTGCCCCAAGGGCATCGAAGGCACCCTGTTTGCGCTCTTGATGTCGATTGGTAACTTTTCTCGCTGTGTGAGCGAATTTTTGGGCGCTCTAGTCTGCACATGGATGGGCATTGCCAAGGACAAGTATGACAATCTATGGCTTGCCATTGTCTTGCGCAGCGTTCTGAAGGTCGTTCCCATTTTCTTCCTTTTCCTGATCCCGACGACAGATCCCCAGGAAATAGTCGATAAGCTGGACTTCGACTCACCTGCCTTCCATGCTTCTTCGAAGGACGAGGAGGAAGAAGAGGCCGACGACAAACACTCGGGCACGATTCGTGAAAACCACGCGGTGAACGACTGTTCACCGACTGGAGAAGTGATGCTTGAAAGTCCCGATGGTGTTGTTGTTTGATGAGCTTTTTCAGGAATGAAGCGATGTAGATGATTGGATTTCAAAACGATATGGCCACCGTGCAATATTGAAGGGTGCACGTGTTAGATACTCTATCAAACAATTGACGGGCCATTTTTGGCAGGTTCATACGTAAGCTGTCTATTTGTCGCGCAGCTCTGAAAACGAGACGACCATGGCCGTGATATTGTCCATGCTGCGCTTGAGCAGGGCAGCCTCCACGAGAGCATCGGCTGCAAATTGAAGCGCCTCCTTTTTTACATTGTCGGGACTTGTGCGTTCCTCCGACCAGTGGTACTCAGCCACCTTTGTCCGCACGATTTTGGCAGCATCGTCATCACTTAGACGGTCCCAGAGACCATCGCTTGCAAACACGAGGAACTCGCCGGCTGCTTCCACATTGAACACGCGAACATCCGGGACCACAGACACGAGCGGGGCGGAGCACGACGGCGGTAGGTTCGTCTTTAGTGGATGGTCACCCAACGACCGGCTAATGGCCAGACGTAGCGAGATCTGATCGTGGGCTACACGCCAGCATCCAGAGAAGATGACCTTACCTCCCGCCTCTTCCACCCGATCCGTCTCCTCCTTCAGATCTGGTTTGTGATCAACAGAGAGACGCACGGCACTTGACACATCTCCTCCGACCTCTCCATCACTTGCATCACTGTTCCCGTCCGGCTGAGCCAACACACCGCGCGAGTCGCCAACATTTGCAACAAACAGCTTACCGCCGACCAGTAGTCCCAGCAGCACTGTCGATCCATCACGCTTGTTTAAAATGACAGTGCGCTGCAAAATCTCAGCATCTACAGTCGCAAAAGCGTCAGCCAAAAGGGTGCGAATACTCGCTACGTCGGCATCAGTCAGTTTCTCGTGCCGCGCACGTCGACTGATTTGCACAAGGTCTTCATTCTCGCCCAGCAAGTTCTTGAACCGTCGACGGGCATACTCGGACGCATATGCACCGTTGTGGCCATCATACACCGCCAGCAGGCTGGGAGACGACTCGTTGTCTACTTCGTGTTCAGACAAGCGCTCTACCACCGAGTACCGATCTTCCATGTACGGCCGGGCACCTTGTGCAAGCGACACACCGACTTGCACGCGCATCTTGGCCGCCTTTCGTCGCCTGTTTGCTTCGATCGTGTCACCACCGCATCTCGGGTGGCAAATGGTCGTGTACTCGACACAGCGCTGGGCCTTGGTCTCGTCTTCGTGAAACCTCTTGAGAGCGGTCTCGATTTTGCGTCGTTTGCGCTCTCGGATCTTCACCACGCCCCCGCACGTCGTTGACAGCGTCAGCGGCTTTGCCTTACCCTCCTCTACCAGCGGCTGAGAGGGGTGCAAGTCTTCAAGCTCGTCGGGACTTGTCTCGGGGCCTTCACTGTCTAACGTCCCTGCTGTTGCATCACAATGAGAACAACAAGACAGCACGGTCGAGAGTAAGCACCACACAGTGGTACCACATCACGTGACTATACAGCCACCTCAAACACAGCCAAGCTCACCTGACGTGGTGGGTGACGACAGCGACTGTCGCTTCCGCGTGGCCGCAGTCGATACTGCAATGCCATCATCGGAACGCGCCTCTACGACTGCAGCAGCTTTGGACGGTTCGCGAATCGTGGCCGCATCACCTTCTGCTGCTGTATCGGCTGCAATCTGCTCAAGTAACCGAATCCCCGAGCGCTGCAGGAACCGTGGCGTGCGTGGCGACTTGCAGTGCGCAGGCGGCGTAGCCGAGCACATCTCGAGCCCCACCATTCCGTTCACGGGCGACGCTACTAGTACGTTGGTCGGAGTCATAGTGCAGTTGGTGAGGGACTGCGGAGCTGAGAACGAGACGAGTGGCGACGACCGAGGGCAGCACAGGCGACGTTGGCGCGCTTTTCGTCGGCACTTGCTCTCTGGACGTCCTCTTTGAGACGTTAAGTGACATCCCGACCCGCGCTTTTTTCATGGCTGCTGATTGGTCGACGTGCACACGTGCCGCCGTGTGCCTCGTATTCCCGTTGGTAGGATCGTCGCTCGCAATGCGATATGACTTACATATGATCTTTGTTGACGAGGAGAGGTATGACCACCCGGTATGACTGACTGATGTCGTGGCGACCGAACTTATGGATAAATATGATCACAACTCCAACAAACAAAAATGCATTTGCCCTCAGTATGCGATGGTGGACCTATTGGAAATCGCCATTTAATCATAACCAATACAAAATCCATCATTTCGCAGTTTCAGCAAATCGGACTATTAGGGGTAGTGCAATCTCATTCCTACAGCATTCCGACATATTTTGTGTCGGAACAAAGCTAGACATATGTTAAATCTCCATACAAATGCCAAGTGAAAGGCACACTTTGTTGCATATTGCGAACGATTCCGACAAAGTTGGCACCTCTGTACTTATTAAACTGCTTGACTGATTATCATTATCTTATTGTAGCCATCTACAATTGCAAAGTATTCGCCACGACAACATAATCAGTAAGCATGTCTGCGCAGTATACAAATGCATAGTCATAGCTGCATTGGAGCGAATATAATCTCCAATAAACGCTCGTACACTTCAAGAACATGACAGCACAGGAACACGAGCATTCAGTCGTAAGTGCCATCCAACACTAAGTCGGACATGTCTACAGCAGTAAACAACTTTATATAATTTCTCCGTCAAAGTTCATCACAGTATAACGGCTATACAAGTCTATATTCAGTACTTATCTGGGACGTGTTTCGTCGCTGTAACGAAGACGTTCGCCATTCGTCTCGCCTACCTCAAAACCAGTGATAGAGAATTCAGCGTACATGCTGGGCTCTCCTTTTACAGTCAAGTAACGAAGTGGCTGTTGGGGTTCTTTCCTTTACAGAGATCAATCGTGTACGACATACTACTCGAGATGGCGCGCACTCTGGAGTGGCACTGCATGACAAGAGCGAGAGAATCTATAAAGAGAGCTGCATCATATGCGGAAGGTGGGATTGTATTACTTATGAACACACATACACATGACTGCCATGATACCAACGTACTACCAGGACGCTGCACCGTGTGCCTAATGTGGCATGCCTTCTGCCGGGCGTCTGATATGTCGATTGTCCTCTAGCAAAGTCGAATAGTTAGCGCAAACAATGTTGAGCTCATGCAGCAACCTCAATTATGACTTATATAAGATAATGTGGATTACGAGGATGTGCTTGCTTTTTAGCCATCACGGCCTCATCTCCATTTATATCGGAAACATATGGCATACAGTGTAATGCAATAGAAGTACCTTCTATTACAATGGTGACAACCAAACGGCTATGAAGAGTCTAATTGAAACGCCACCAGGAAGCGTGTACGCTAAGAAGCATTCCAGCTCTTTTATTAACACTCACACTTATAGATTTATTTCGGTCATGGTGCCACAGATGCTCTTCATAACTTGGTGTCCACCGCTCGAGTGAATACTCTGGAGCACACCAGCGTAGTGAAAGCTAGGCAGCCCAAAGTCGGGTTGCGCTTGTCCGTCATGATTACCACCGGTGCACGCGCGCATTTGTCACATTCAGCACATTCGGTATCAACGTCTTGACAGCAACTTCACCAATGTCTCTTGCAGAGTTCAAATGCCAGAGGGAGTGCATAGAGTTGATGAACTATGTCGCCTACCCGTCTTTGCTGCGTGTCGAGAAAAGAGTGGTGGAGTGGCGACCGCTCGTTTGAGGAGTCGATCCAAACTCACCACTGGCGCCCGGACGACCGAATAACGGAGGGGGTACTCCGATTACGTTTCGTAACCTTTGATCAACTTGTGTACCCGTCGATAGGGCAGGCAATCTTCCAGGTGAACTTGAGTCGATGGAAAACTTGACCTTGTTTAGGATCGGGATATCGCGTGGGAACCTTCACGCGATTGCGGGTGTACTGGTAAGGTGCTCGATATGAGTCAACTTGATCTCTACGAGATCGCCATGTACAACGTAGATACTTGATTCGCGAGCCTTCTGTCCACTTGAGCCGTCTCACGATATTGTACTCTTTGCCTTTAATTGTTTGCTGCGTCCAATCGCAGTTGGGTTCTCCGTTGAGAGACATCGATCCCTGGCCAAAATATCGAGGGATATCACTTGATTTAAGTATGTATCTTTTCTTGACGTCGGGTGGCCAATGATCCAACCCGGAAGAGAAGTCGACACATGTACCTAGAAGAAAATTGAACTCTGTTTAATGTTAACCAATCAAACCTAAAAAAATAACACATCGCTAGGCATATCTGCATTACGAACTTCTGGGCCACGCGTCTCCTGTCCAGAAGATCGTCCCCATGTACCTATGTGGCTTACACCCAGTAAGCTCTCTCTTGAACCTTGGCGTGGTTCACATCCGACTTGTACGCAGCTGACTCCAGGCTCGCGATATCTGGGTGATTTCGCGATCTCTGGGTGTTCTTGTGTTCTATGGTCGGGATCGCGATCTCTGGGTGATCCCGCAATCTCTGAGTGGTCTCGTGATCTCTGGTTGGGATCGTGATGCCTGTTTGGGATCGCGATGTCTGGTTAATCTCGCTATCTCTCGTAAGATTCTTTTTGTATTAGGTAATCATACTATTGTAAACCACATATTCCTTCCTTGCCACCAACATATAGAGATCGGTACGTTTAAGTACACGATCGTGAGCCTCCCGTCCCAGCTCATATCCTACAAACAGAATCCTCCTAAAACTTAACTGACGCTAGCGACCTGTGGACTCTCAATCCTAACTCAACGGTCCTCTCGTAATCGCTCTGCCACAATCGTCTCCTGTACCGTTAGTCGACAAACATTGTCGATCTTGTTGTGCATCCTTGGCATCTTGACGGCAGTATGCCGTTTCAGGCTTCTTTTGAACTTCATTATGGCTAATCATGCTACATCGGATCTCACCCACCCATCCAACATGAGATCGGACGTCCCCGAATTGCAGCCAGATACACTCGCGGCAGATGTCGTCGCCACGGTCATCTTCAGTCCTGTCTGTTCGGACGCTTCTACGCTGGTTTTGGGCGATCTTGATCATTCAGTGGTCACCGCCTTGGTCATCTGAAAGTACTTGATCGACGAGTATCCCGATTCGATCTCTATCGCAAGTTCGTCTCCGATCTTCGCTCCGGATATTCCCGTGCCCGACAACAACGTTCTATGTTCTCGACCGAGAAAGCCCGTTTCGCTTCTCAGATTCCGCGTGGGGTTGTCTTCTACGGTAGACCGTGAATCGTTGAAAGAAGTTATGAAATCTCTCTTTCCTTAACTGGATCAGCAATAAGAAACATGGACCGCTATGGCGACATGGAAATCGCGTTAGCTCGGCAGATTTTCCGCAAGCGCTATCTGAAAGAAACCATTCAGAAGCTCTACACCTCCGCATCTCTCTACGTCCAATTTATTCAAGGCAAGTACGATAATCAGCGCGCGCTATTCGAAAATGAGTCACTGCGGTCGAAGACGTTTTGACAGAGATGGCCAAACTCCAAGCCAAATTCCAAGATCGAGCCTCCGAAATCGCACACTTGAAAAAGAAACCTCTGGTGGCCATCTAAAAGCGTCACGTCGCGCAAGAGAAGTCCATCCGCGAGATCACCGGGATTCGTAACCAAATAGATGAGGCAGGATATCGCTTGGTAGCTGAGCGTAATGCGATTTTGGATCGCCTCGTCCGAGTGCTGAAAAAAGACAGCAGTACAAGAAAGCGTACGCCCAATACAAATACAAGCTTCGTTGCAGTGTTGAACGCATCGGGGAATTTCAAGTTGAGTTGCTTAGGAGCGGTCAAATGTTGATGACCAGTCTTCCAAGCGTGAACGGTTGCATCGCATTTTGATGGATCGCGACTCCGTTCTCACTTATCTGCATCTCGAGATGTACAATCTGGATGCCGAACGGGATCACTATACTCAAAAGCATCACACGTTGCGAGATCGAATGGCGTCGTTGGTGACCGGAGATCCTGTACCGATCACGACCCCAGTGGCTTCGACCAAATTTATCTCCGGGGCTGCTTTGCACCCAAAGCTTCCGATCTCGCTTTGCCAAGCGGTAAGTGTACGCGCGAGTCCATGCTCTTACAGACCCGGCCCGTCCTAAAGAGAGTCAGAAGATCCTCGATATCTGCTCCTCGATCGAAACCAGTTGGTGACTTAGGGAGAATGTGTGGTGGAGTAATGATCAAAATTTCCTTGTGGTCCCGACTCTCCACTGGCGCCCAGACGACCGATTAACGGAAGGGGTACCCCGATTGCATGCTCTTTGTTTTATTACTCACCTTGTGTACCCGTCGGTGGGGCGGGTTGCGCTATTCTTGGTGGACTTGAGCTGAAGCTGAACTTGACCGTTTGGGGATAGGGGTTGATCGGGTGGAAATTCTTCACCCGGTCAAACGTGGGGTGGATCGAGTGGAAATTATTCACTCGATCGCAAGCACACTTGGGCGCTCTACCACATTTGCCTATATTTAAGGGTGATGCTTGATCCGCGAGCCTTCTGACCACTTGAACCGTTTCGCGATCTTGAACCTTAACCATTAGGTTCACTGCGTCCGATAGCAGTTGGGGGTGAGAACTGATGTTCCACCTGGCCAAAAAATCCAATGGCAAAGCTTGTAGATACGCGGGTGACTCCCTATTCAACGGGAGTACAAAGTTCCTGTTCGGGAGAAGTCGACGCGTGTATTTCGTTGCAAATTCAATTTTGTTTAATGTCAACCAAAATCCAAAACCTATGACGTGACTATCTGTTCGCTAGATCACTGTTGCGTATCGCTTGTCTATGTAATTCACCTCG